CTTCTGTCCTGTTGAGTAAGTACAGTGATTTCGCCTTCAACCGGATGTAAACTCCAAATTGAATGGTAACTTTCCTTTGGATTTTTACAATTTGGCATAAAATTACCATCACGTTGCACCAAACCGTCATTTAAAAAATACGGATGTGAACCCATCAACAATTCTTTGATTGGTTCTGGTTGTTCAAGAATCTTTGAAAAACTAACTTTACCAGCTGGGAAACAATCGATTCGAGTGTAGATTTATCCCGTTCTTTTACCAAAGTTGTTGTTCTTTTAATCTGCGTCAGGTTTTTAAAAACATGTTACGAATCAACCATTTTTTTTCATAACTCGTATAGATTTCTCGTCCCCTCATGAGCGACAATTAAAAATTAACAAGTAAAATGTAAAATAAAGTACAATAAAATGAGAATGTTTCCAGTTATATATGAAATTTGTTTGTAATCTTTCCCGAGCCTGCAAGGATGTGCCTAAAACATGTATCATAGTCAATACCATGATGATTAATTGCATTAAAGGCTAGCGCAATTGTTTTTAAAAATATTTATTCAATTGTAATAGTAGTTTAAGAATCTAAGCGTATTGAACCTTGTTTTTTATCAGACTTTTTAATGATTTTATTCAACTATGACACTTCAAGGATCATAACCTAAAAACCTTATTCTTCAATCTACCTTTTTTTGTATGGCTTCAACCGATTATAATTCTTGAAAGACCAGAACAAACAAAAGACATTCTTTAACGAGTTCTAATCTGATGCCTATAACTGTAATAAAAAAAATTATTTTTTAATAGAACATTTTTTAGTTATTTCGTTCAATTGTAATAGCACTTCTTTTTAATTAATGAAAGGCCATAAACTACTATGGGTCATTACGCCTGAACATAAAAAATTAAGATTCTTTACAAAAAAATGTTTTTCCATTGTAATACTGCCCTGCTATGAAGAAATGCCGTACCTCCAGATTTTTCGAATTTCCCTTTTTTACCATTGCATTCTTAGATACTTTTCCTATTGAAAACATGATAAAATCTGTATAAATCCTGCCAGAAATATAAAAAAAATTCAGTTTAAAATTAAGACGTGCTGTGCGTGTACATAAAACGATTTGGAGAAAATACTAGCCAAAAAATCGTATTTCCAAAATTTTGTCGTAACTTAATAAAAAAAGTGCTCGTTTCACAAGGTGAAATTAAAGCATGTGCCAATGTTATTTTCCACTTTTTTTACGGCAGAAAAACTCGTTTCCGACGTAACGGGAGATGTATTATATCGAACAAAGTGAATGGAAATTCAATTATTTAAATATTTGTTTCATTATGAGTTACATTTCTATCGCATTGTAAAACAAATTGTAATAAAAAAACAATTTATGCTGGCAAAAATACTTTATTTTCTGGTACGTTCTTTTTCGTAAGTTATTATCACAAATCTTTGCTGGCTAAATTAAACGTAAAAACCCAACAAATACATAAAATAAAAGTGAATCTATAAATAAATTATAAATTATAATAAAAAAAAGCTTTCAGGGTTAAAAAAAAATTAGGCCCCTAGGCCAAAAACTATAACAAAATATGGCAAATTAACTGAGGTCACTCAGCAGGAAAAACATCAAAGCTCAATTTCTCAAAATTATCAAAATAGCAGATCCTGAATTTCTTCTTAGCGAGATAGAATATCACTTGAAGAACAGTCAAAAATCCTTATTCTGTAAGAGCTAATTATTTTAAAACAATTTGTTCAATTTTAATGACACCTGAAGGATCAAAACCTGAATTTTTTTTATTTGAACTGTTAGCACTTGAAGAAAATAAACCAAAAAAATTCTTTTCTTTACTGCATCAATTGTCAAGGTTTTAATTTAATTTTACAATAAAGGATTAGTAGAATAATTTTTTTAAAAATTATTTCTCAATAGAACATTTTTTTCAGAAATTCTCAATTGAAACACTATTCTTCAGCAGATATAATTTCTTTTAGCTGTTACTGAATATAATTGTGCACTCAAATTGTAAAAAAATCATTTATTCTTTAACAGACTTTTTCAAATATTCTTTTCTACTTGAAAGAACAGAACAAATAAACAGAGATTATTCTTTATTAGACCACTTTTCATTTTGCTCAATCGTTATAAAACTTGAAGGACCTGAACTTTAAAAAACAATTTACATTCTTTAACGGACAATTTTTTTACAATTGTTATAGCACTGGAAGAGAAATATTTGAAAACCTATTCTTTATCAAATAAATTTTGGTTTTGTAAAAGGTTTGTGCAATTTTAAGATCTGAATCTAAAAGAAACTTCTTCTATAACATATATACTTTTATTTAATTTTCCGTAAACATATCGAAGACCAAATCATAAAAACCTTTTTTAACTGCCTTTTTTTCAGATTTCATACACCTGTATAATCCTATACGAACAGTAATCTAAAAAACCATATTCTTTAACTGATCTAATTTCGTTTAACTGCAACATGAACATGATTGAGGGTTTAAAAAAATCAGTTATTCTTTAACAGGCGATTATTTTCTCTGATTTTTTTAAACTAATAGCATTTGAAGGTACAGAACAAAAAATATCTTATTACTTATTAAACCACTTTTAATTATTTCGTTCCATTGCAATATCATTTGAATGACCTTAGTGTTAAAAAAAATTTGCTTTCTTTGGCATACAATCTGTTTTAACGATAATTTAATAACATTTTTAGAAATAGATTTTTTAAAAAATTTAAATGAGGTCATTCAACATGAAAAGTTACAAAGCTTAATTTATTAAAACTATGAGAAGAGTAGATGCGGAATTTCGTCTTAGCAGGGCAGAATATCACTTAAAGGAACAGTAAAAAAAAAACGCTAATTCATTAAGGGGTAATTTTTTTTTAAATTTGTTCAATTTCAATGACATTTGAAGGATCAAAACCTGAAAATTTTTAATTGAACTGTTAGCACGTGAAGGACATAAACCTACAAAATCGTTATTTTTTAATATATCAATTGTCAAGGTTTTAATTTAATTGTAGTAATAAAGGAACAGAATTTAAAGAAAAAAAAACGTTATTTCTAAATAGATCATTTTTTCTGAAATTCCCAATTGGAACCCTATTCTTTAGCATACATAATTTCTTTTCGCTGTTACTCAATATAATTGTGCACTTAAATTCTAAAAAATCAATTATTCTTTAACAGACTTTTTTCAACTATTTTTCTGCTTCTTTATTCTTTATTAGACCACTTTTGATTTTGCCACTTTTCTTTAGCACTGGAAGAGAAATATTTAAAAACCTATCCTTTATGAAATAAATTTTATTGGGTTGTCCGGAAAATAATGCAGGATTTTGGTATTAAACAAAAAAAAAGAAACTAGTTACTTTAAAGCAATGTTCTTTAATGAAAATAATTTCCCATACTCTCAATACATTTCTCCCAACGTGTTGGTAACTTATTAATTCCGTCTGAGTAGAATTCAGAATTTTTAGAATTGATAAAGTCAATAAANATGAGTAATCCTGTAAACGTAAACAGAATATTTTATATAGATTTTTTTTAATGAAAACTTAAAATCCTGCATTATTTTCCGGACAACCCGATAGTTTTGTAAAAACTTTGTGTACTTTGAAGATCTGAAACTAAAAGTTGTATTCTATAACATAAAAACTTTTATTTGATTTCCTGCAAAAATAACGACTACCAGATTCTAAAAGCCTTTTTTTAACAGGTTTTTTTTTCAGATTTCATACACCTGCATAATCCTTGAAGACAGTAACCTAAAAACCATATTCTTTAACAGATTTAATTTCGTTTAACTGCTACACAACATGAGGACTGGAGTTTAAAAAACATCAATTATTCTTTAACATGTGATTATTTTGTCTGATTTTTTAAACTATAATAACACTTAAAGGAAAAGATAAAAAAACTTTTTTTAAATTAAATAAAAGATTAAAACATTTTAAAAAACAGTTGATCCAATTGTAATTACATATGTAGGATTAAAACCGAAATAAATACGCTTTTAATGGATTTTTTACTAATATCGGTAAATAACTTTTGGACGACTATTCGTTAACAGACCAATGTGTCAAACTTTACTAACACTTTAAGAACGTAAAATCTAATAATTTGAAAAAGAAATAATAATAATAATAAAATAAAAGACAATTGATCTAATTTTCTCTAGATACTACTTAATTAAACAGTTGTTTTAAAAAATCAATTATTATTTGGTTTAATTTTGTACACTTTTACAATGAGAACTGTAAAAGAAAGTAATTTGTTCATACGCATTAAAACAAAAAACGTTTTGAATTTCTGGTATATACAGATACGTAACGTTTTATGAAGAAATTTTAAATTAATAAAATTAATGGCTTTTTACGGATGATATAAAATATTTTGTACCAATTTACTTTTATTGTTTAACTAGTTGGTGTAATTATGTTCATTTAGTATAACATTTTAAAACGGGAAGGCTGAAAACAAGAAAATAAAAAATTGAAATCTTAATCCAGAATATTTTTTTTTAAATTAAATTTTGATTCGTATGTTTTTACAAATTAATTTCTTTCACTGCTAAAAAACTGATATCTCGATTTGGAACAATGGATACGGTGGACAAACGGAGTATATGCCACAAATTATCCGACTGGACGAATAATTACGACATTGGTAAAACAAGAATTCGACGTTCGTGCAATTACAGATGAAGGGTATACGAACGAAATTAAAAGATAAAATCGTGGGAAACCAGACAATTACAATAATGTATAACTGACACCCAATTGTCCTGGAAAAGACTTGTGGAACCGCGAGCGGAAAAACCGCGGATTCTTGACCAGATTCGCGGTACGTTCTGTCCCACCCCGACTACCTCGATCTCTCGGTACTTTTTTTTAGACTGAACCGGATAATCGCTCACGGGCTGAAAGGGAACCCCCGTTTTTAAAAATTTATGGTGGGGACGACGCATAAATGTTTGGGGCTTCGTCCTGAAAACACAAGTACGGTCGAGATGGCACCGAACATGTCATCGGGCAGATACGTTTTCAAAGGCGACCACGGGTTTAACATGGATAAAAAATTAGCCGTCATCAGTGAGTAATTATATGTTAAATTATTGAACGGTTTTAACTTGCCTACAATTTTACCATAGTTTGAATCCCAACCACACCAATAAATCTCTTCTTTCATAAAAATTGTGAACATATTCCAACACATAGTTCGAATTTTTAAATAACAATAGTTCATTAGTATTAATGTATTATGTATGAAAAATATATTAAAAAACATTGATTTTTTTTTAATTCAACGAAATTGTACTTAAAATGACAATTTGAAAAATTCGAATTGAAGACTTATAGAACCAACAAGCAGAAAAACTTATAAAATCATAAACATAAGCTCAATAACTATAACAAGTGTGTTTGTACAAAAATTATTAATCTTATTTGTTTAATTCTTTTACTTACCTTTGCCTAATAGTTGTCTCGTGTTAATTCCTCCCCCCCCCGCCATCGACCCAAACCACGTACACAGCCCGAGGGGCGATGGGCATGCTATTCCCCCATCAACCCCCTCCCCATTCACTCTAATAAATACAATCACTCATACAAAACATATATTTTGACGGCTATATACAATTTAAAAAATTCCCAATTCCTCTAAAAAGCAGAACAGGGGACCATTTCCCTACCGAGTCCGAGATCCATTCTTAAATTTGGCGGCAGGCCTACACGCTCTCTGTATGGAGCCAAGGCATGACACGCCTTTATTAAGTGGGACACATCGAGCAACCTTTCTCTGCATAGGGAGCACCTGCGCGGGCTTTGGTCCAGCGTATTTCCTCTTGTTCTAAGTATATTTTTAAAAAAGTTTTCAATTTTTCAAAATACATGTTTAAAAAAAAATTGGTATTCCGGATGCATCTGTTTTCATTGAGGTAGTATTTTTTTCTAATCTCAATCGAACTTGTAAGCATAACGTCTATCCTGACGATAGATGCTAAATTTAAAAACATTTTTCGTTATGCTTTTAATATTTTTAACTAACATTTGACACAATAAATGCAATACAAAATCGTTCATGGATTAGTTTATTAGGTTATACAGGATTAGTTATTATCATAAATGGGGTTGCACTTCTTTGATGAACCGGAACAATGTTTCACCAACGAACTGTTCAGTTTTGCTTACGTGATCAGATTTTCCAAGGGTTGACAAGTGGGTTTTGATGAAAAATCAGTTTCCAGATCGTTTTAGGGTTTTCAAATAATTTGGAACAAATGTGTGATGTTTAGTGACCATTAGTTAATGATTATTTGGAGATCGTGAGATGCGATCTGGTGTGACGTAGGTTTTAGAAAACCATCTGAACATGATCTCAATAAAGATCGAAACGTTGGCACTGCAAAGAAAATATTTTTGTAAAACCTACGTCACACCAGACCGCATCTCACGATCTCCAAATAATATATAAAACAAATGTTGCTAAACAAGTCAAAAAATTAAGTATCAAGACTGCTCCAACGCGTTCCAGTAAGTAAAATTTTACTCTTGTCCTATACATCTTAGATATTGCTCTAAAGTTTTATTTCCTGCTTAGATTTAACTTGTAAATTTAAAGTGTAGTGTGGGTGCCGAACGAATGCACAAATGCCAGACCGATAAAAGCATTCGTTTCACAAGGGGGAATTATCGGACTAATCATTTATACTGTTGACTTTTCTATACTTCTCACAAAAATCTCCACCTATTCGAATGACGTCTTTGAACCCGAATCCAATCCAAGAACCTCCAACATCCAAAAAACACCTTGAATTATCAAAGATTGATGCAAACTGTTGAGGACAAGATTGAAAGAGGGAAATCTTAATTTACATTAATTGTTTAAGAAAGAGCGACCGACTTCCACTTAATTATAATACTATTATCAACAGACTGACGTGGAATCCCCATACGGCACTTAAGAGACAACTTAGCAGAAGACTTGGACACCAAAACTCAACTAACTCTATACAAGACATTATTATTTTCTAATATGTATCAGGAAAGTTTCGCCAAGCCATCCAATATCCAACACATCCAAACTTTTCACCCTGTCCTCAGACGAATTGTCAAAGCTACGTCACTAACCTCACTATCCACAACTTCAACATTGATTTCAATTAATCAATCTTTTCAATCTTTATGTAAGGTATTGGTTGAAATTAAAAAGTTAGTGTCACGAGCAGTAGTAGGTTGAAGTGGGAAGTTGGTGTCCGAGTAGATCGAAGTCACGATCTACTCAAGCTTGTAGAAGCTCAAGTGGTCGAGCAGGTCGTGGGTTCGAATCTCGCTCGTGACACTAACTTTTCATTTCAACCAATACCTTACATAAAGATTAATTGAAAGAAATTATTTGGTCAACTGGACCACGAAATGGATTTTTTTTTTATCGACGAATTGATTCCGCATCCAAAAGTATCACACTAAATTGTGATCATCCTAACCCTACTGCTTAAGCAGTGCTGTGACTAGGAAAAAATACACTGGTTACAAATAAACGATTTATTAAAAAAGAACATTAACACTTTTAATGGCCATTTCCCAAAATGTCCTAGGCTGGGTAAATTTTTTGTTTCCTTGCTGTATCAGGAAAGATTTTAAAAAATTATTAAACTTTTTTTCACCGAATAAGTGCGAATTTTGTTACTCAGGTTATACTAAACCGGCAAATTCGTTTTTAATTCTCGTCAGTTCAATTTCAATTTTTACTAGTGTTTTGTTATAGAAGAAAAAAAAGTAATAGCTGCTCACTGAAATAAATATGACATACAGAATAAAGTGAATACAAACCAAGAAACATTGCAGGTTTACGATGGGGATAGTTGGGCAAATAGGAAATAACTGCTAACTAAAATTCGACTCCGAAAAAATAACCATTTGATATTGTATCCATTTGTAATAATTATTTACAATAAAAAATTAAATTATCATAATGCTCTTTCTCTCCTTGGACGCGTTGATCCTCATTACGCCGATCCGAACTGGAAGAACTTACATTTCTAAAACAAGAAATTTGTTTGAAAAGAAAGATACAAAAAATAATAATATACACCAAAAAAAAATTAAAATTACCATCTTAGGGGCGTAGGTGGTACGATTTAAGCCGGGAACACAACCGATGCTATCCGATGCCATGCAACGCAACTCTACTTTACGCTCTGCCCCACTGTCCAGATTTTCGTCGGGTAGCATGGAGTACAGTCGAAGACAAAGAACCGGACATTCATATTTTTATTCAAACTACATGCATTGTTGTCGTTATATTAATTACAACATACTTATTTTTAATATAAACCAAATTAACCGAGTTCAAAATTCGTTAGTATTTATTTAAACAAAATTAATTTTAATGGTTTGGTAGAAAATTGATCAAAACGCCGGAATACCATTTATTGATAGAATGAATTTAACTAACAATTTATTACATGGATTTGCTCAGCAAATTTAACTAACAATTTATTTCATGTTTTTTCTTATAAAATTACACCATTTTCGTCGAGTAGAGTCAGAACAGGACACTCATATTTTTATAGTTTATTTCAAACTAAATATTTGTAATTTTCTCGTTATATTAATTAGAACATTCTTATTTTAATACAAACCAAATTAAACGAGATCAAAAATTCATGAGTTTTTATAGAAATTATTTAATTATGATGGTTAGGCAGAAAATTTATCAAAACACCGGAATAATTTTATTTAAAACAATTTATTTTAACTAACAATTTATTACTTGGTTGTGTTCATAAAATTTAACTAACAATTTATTACATGGTTTTGCTCAAAATAATGCCTTAAGAACAAAAGAGGCGTTGCAATTGTGATCTGATTTGTGATACACGCTGTGTGACTGTACGTGGCGTGCGCTTGACGTCGTATAGATGTGCACACCCTACCAAAACGTGGCAAGCCGTCGGGTAGCGTCGCATACTGTTGCATCGGGTGTGTTCCCCGCGGTTAGGCGTTGACACTGCGCTTATCAAGGTAAAATTCCCGGGTTCGAATCCAGCAGCCTCGCATTCGAACTCGACAAAATGGGCTTTTTTTCTTCAAAAACACTTGCACCCGGGGGCCTGATATGAACACTGCTGTCGTGCACCCCCATAAAAAATTTATCATTACTAGCTGCAATGCTAAACTTTAAAAAAAAAAAACCCTCAACGAAAAAATATCATATGCCTTTTTATTTCAATTTAATATGTTTGCCAAATTGTTGTGCTAATTAAAAAGTCTAATATTGATAATTATTAAATTAGTCTAATTATAATTGAGTATAATATAAATGAAACTTTTAAGTAGGTTTAGAAAAGAAAGAAAACTTTTAAAACTGAATTTTAATCTGTTTCTCTGTCTGTTTCAGAAACGGAATCACATGCAAGTTTACCTTTCGAAGCAGCTCTTGAAAAAGCAGGTAAAATTTCAAACAGTGTGATTTTATCAGTTTACGGTTCCATCCATTTTTATCGATTCATCAATTTAAAAAAAAAAAATCGCGAACATGGTGTAAATAATTTTAATAAAACTTTTACACTCCTGATTATTTGGTTATGGAATAACCAAATTATGCAGAAAAATATAGTATTTTCTTGCATCAAATTTTGTTTGTTATTTGGTTTAAATGTCCTTTTTTTTAATTTTGCTAGTATCTCGGTTTTTAACCATTTTCTCTTCAACAATGACATAATTGGTGAAATAGATTAAATAATTACATATATTAAAATGTATGCTCCTCTTCATTTGGCTACAGTACAGCAAATTATACAGAAAAATATAATAATTGATTTTTCAATTAACTTGCAGCAAATTTTGTTTGCTATCCTTATAATTTTCACTTCAACAATGACAAAATTCTGTGACATACTTTTAAGGCAGTTAATAAAGCAAATTTAAAACAAACCAGATAAATGGTCTCGTGACTTCTCACATGCTGTATTTTCCAGGATATGGCAAATTTCATTATTTGCTCTTTCTCCTTGTTGGCTGCTCATATAGCTCTGTGGCCATGGAAACCATAGTGGTTTCCTTTGTGATACCAGCTGCAAGATGTGATTTCGATATATCATCAAAAGATGCTGGATATTTGTCAGCATTTCCTCAACTAGGTACGTTATTGCATTATTACATTTACATTTTATGCATCTATCTTGCTTCATTTGTATAGCAAAAAATTTTGCTGAAAAAATTGTTAAAACAGAAAGTGTTAAAAAACAAAATGCTAAAATATATAACATTAACTTCACTAATTTCGTGGTCCGCTTGACCAATTAATATGTTACAATTAATTAAGGTTTTTAGTTGTAAAGTTAGTAGCGCAGCGGTGTATCTAGCCGAAGATCGTGGGTTCGAATCCCGCTCGTGCTATTGACTTTTTTATCTCAACTAAAAACCTTAATTAATTGTAATATAACATTAACGTTTCTTTCTTTTTGTAGTTTTATTTAGTTGATTTTTATGGATGGACATTTAGTAAGTAGCACTAGGCCTGTTTGAATAAGTTTTTCTATCTCGCCTTGCTCTGGAATTGAATGCTAACAAAAGAAACTCCTCTATTTTACAATCTCAGGTATAATAATCGGAGCATTTCTTTGGGGTACGCTTGCCGACATATATGGAAGAAAATGGATATATGTCATGACGCTGTTGTCTGGGGGACTTTCCAGCCTTTTATCCAGTTTTGCACCGAACTTCATCATTTTTATGGTGTTTAGGATTATTAGTGCAGTAGGGTATGCGATTAAAACGATTCACTATTAACATAAGTAGTTCCGTTGTTTTAAAAATTTATATGAAAATTTTCAGCCTTGCAGGAGTGCTAAGTGTATGCCTACCATACCTCGCTGAATTTCAACCTGAAAAGCTGAAAGAAAAGGTCGTCAGTTGGATGGAGTTTTGGTGGACAGTCGGCATCACACTGTCTCCTTGTAAGAGAAATAACTAATTGTTTCCATAATTTATAAAATTTAATCATTTAAATGAGTAAACTTTCAGGCCTAGCATGGGCGATCATCCCAACAAACTTGAGGTTCGAAAGCGAATACTTCAACTATGCATCTTGGAATTTGTACGTCGCGACAAATGCAAGCGTCATGATTGTATTGGGTTTCATTGCGATGGGATTTCCTGAAAGTCCAAAATATTATGAAGACATCGGAGAACGCGAGAAAGCCGTAGAAGTATTAAGATACGTCTACTCTGTCAACACCGGTTGCCATCAATCTTTATTCGTGGTATGTTTAAAAAAAAAAATTATGAAAGTAAAGGGTAATCGAATACTCTTAGTCAAAGAAGAAAAAAAAGAGTGAAATATTTGACATATTTGAAAATTTTCCATCTAAAGATAATCTGTATTTTTATAGTAAGGAAAAACATATAAGACAGACATACAGAATATCTAAATATTAGACATTTGAAGAATTTTCAGGTTATCAGATGGGGATACTGACAGATGACCTATATGAGATACCAATTTTTAGTTACTTGGGATTTTTGGTTACTTGATACTTTTTCTGTATTGACTGATCGGATAGGTCCTCAAACACTTGGTAGAGGATAAAGAAGAGATGGAGTAGAGGTGATTAAATCTAGTCACCAGGATACTTTTTGTATCTCATACCAGTTTGGCAAACGCGTTTCTCGTACAGATTGCCTCCATGTGAACTGGGCCTAATTCACTCAACTAGATTTAGGTTTTCTTGTACCACCAGCAATGAACTTTATAATCTGTCATAATTGTCTTATACAATTAAAATTGATCAGAAAATGTAACCCGCTGCATACACTCTTCATGATAATTGGTACTTATTTAAGATTGGAGTAGTGACAATTGAGCACCCAATAAAGACATATATTCGGATGTATGTAACAAATTACAATGTTTTTGGGACAATGATATCTACTCTTTGAGCTAGAAGGTTTTCTTTTCTATAATACGAAGCTTAGTAATTTTGGGGAAACGGAAATCTGGAAGCGATAGAGACTTTAATCAGTATTTTATATGAAGTGAGAGAGAAAATGAAAATAGCCGACAAGGTAGTTTCAATGACCAAAAAGTTTTGGGTGACTAATGGTACAGTAAGTAATTTTTTGTAATAAAATCGCTGACACTTTTCAAGTGTCTCATATTGCTGGACAAAACCAGATTTGAGTACTATAACAGAACACTGAGTGAAAGACTGATTTATATATTCGAATTTTGACATTGAATGGAACATCTAATAAACTTTGATAGGGGACATCAGTGGCCGCAACGGTTTAGGCATTGACACGGAGCTCATCACAGTTAGGCAAAGTAAAAAGGAAAAAAAAAACTTTCACCAGACTCCATATAAAACCAATTTTGCAATGGCTATTCTTTTTGTAACATAAAATACAAAAATAAGACAGTGTGTGAAGGCCTAAATAATTACAAAGACAATAAATATAAAAAAAACTTTAATCTTTCAATAAAGTTTCGAAAATGCCACACTGTGTTGGCTATGCTTTAAGTATTTTGTTTTGAAAAAGTTGAAGGTTTTGGATATTATGTTCATGATAGACAAATAGAAAAAAGATTCAATATTTTTTGAATAAAAATTTAACAATTTTTATTATTAAAAACAGAATGAATATGATATCGTAACCAGGATAATTACAGATTACAATTAATTAAGGTTTTTAGTTGAGATAAAAAAGTCAATGGCACGAGCGGGATTCGAACCCACGATCTTCGGCTAGATACTCTACTGCTCTACCACTTGAGCTTTCGTGACCTCGATCCACTCGAACACCAACTTCCTTTCTGAACGCCACCTTTTGAGTTTTCCCTCCTTTTTGCCATTTTTCAAATGTCGTGTAATCGGATTGGACTCTTGGCGACACTAAAGCTCTCCGTGGCCATTTCATTATACGACATTTGAAAAATGGTAAAAAGGGGGGGAACTCAAAAGGTGGGATTGAGAAAGGAAGTTGGTGTCCGAGTGGATCGTGGTCACGATAGTTCAAGTGGTAGAGCAGCGGCGTATCTAGCCGAAGACCGTGGGTTCGAATCCCGCTCGTGCCATTGACTTTTTTATCTCAACTAAAAACCTTAATTGATTGCAATATATTCATTGGTCAAGCGGACCATGAAATTAGTGAATTTAATAATTGTAGATAATCAACTTTAAATTTAATTAACACATACTATGTATTATTTGTTAATATTTTTAACAATTATATTTCAGTGTGAGCTCATGGAGGAAAAAGGCATAAGCGTCATTAGCAGAAATAACAACTCTCAACTTACTAAGCCAAAACGTACGTTTCAGTCGATTTTTTATGACATGAAAACGCAGACCCAACTTCTTCTTGTCAAACCGCATTTCCTAAATATCTCATTGGTCGGGATAATATCATTCGGAGTGACTGGAGTGTAAGTTTTACATTTTAACATTTTAAAATAATCTGAAGCAAATTTTAAATTGTAGGTATTACACGTTCATGTTGTGGTTTCCTGAGCTGTTTTCGAGGTTTAACACTTTCGAACAGCAACATCCTGGACAGACGACATCAATGTGCGAAGTGGCCTCTATCTTCATAGAAACGACGAATGAATGCCACAATGAAGTCAATCCTGAAATATTCAAGAACTCTGTGATCATTGGCCTTTCTTGCATTCCGACAAGCTTATGGCTTTCAATGTGTATCAGTCGTTTGGGTTGTAAATTTTTCCTTGGTAAATATTCATTTTATTTAAAACCAAATTTAAGTATTTGGCCAAATTCATCCTTTATACAAAGCTTTTTTTGGTGTTTATGGAAGATTAAATATAGAATTTTCCATCGATTAAAAATTTGTTTAATTTTGTTTTTTTAGTATTTTGCATGGGCGTAGCAGGGATATCATGCCTGGCTATGTATTTTGTCACTTCATCATTCCAAAATCTGATTTTGTCATGCTTATTTGAGGCGTTCGCTTCATTGAGCGTTATGACGATGTTTTGCAGTTTGGTAGATCTCTTCCCTTCACAAATATGGTAATAAATGCCGCAAATTTTATGAAATATTTGTTTTAATGTAACGGTGATTTTAGTGCCATGGCAAATGGTGTGTGCCTCAGTCTTGGAAAAGTGGGAGCTTTAGTCGCTAGTCTTTTCTTCGGCTACCTCATAGATTACAACTGCACAATTCCTACTTTCTTATTTACTGCCATAATGATAGGTAAGTTTGTACATCATTAACACTTACAACCTACTAATTAATTTTATTTTTTTTTTTTTAATATCAAGGTTTTATTTTACATGTTTAAACATTTAACAACATTATGACTTATGTTTTATTTAAGGTTGTGCAGTTATAGCATTGTTTCTTCCACTTAAGAAACGTCCAATCACAGATGGATGATTGCACAATGGATTCACTAAAAAGAATAACCGACCATTGCTCCTTCTTCTAGTCAAAAACAAAACAAGAACAACAATATATATAAAATAAGCAACAAAAGCAACAATAAGAATAAAATAAACAATCATAAAACAACTCATTTAAGAATGATTCAATAATCTAAAAAAAAGAATAAAAATTAAAATAAACACCTTGTTAATTTCAAATATGAAAATGTTTGTTTTTTGAAGATTAGATAATTGGGTGTAAAAGTCTTTTAATAATACGGTACTCTAACTGCAAAAGAAATATCATCAAAGGCTGACACATTCATCAAAAATAAATAATAAAAAAAACTTTGTTTGTTGAAGCAATAACACTGATAATTTGATTTTTTTTCAGTTATATTTATAGGTTAATTACTCATTTAATTATTTTAGAGATGATATTTTATATATTTCTTCAGTTATATTTATAACACATTTGATTATCTAAGAGAATTTTGTTTGTCATCTTGCAATATTGTTTCAAACTGTGTTATTAAGATTTAAAGTTTAAGTTTTTTTAAGTTAATTTTAGGCTTTTAGACTAGTTAATTTAAATTCACATTAATTGTGAGAACTGAAATGAGAGAATGCACCCTGACTGACACAGTCGCGGTTTTTTGTTTTTGCCAAATGAACTGAAGGTACTCATACTTGTACCAGTTAATATCCCCATTCTTATAGACTTCCTAAGAAATAAAATGAAAAATGTACATTACTTGAATTTTGCAGCTGCTAATAAAGAAGGACGATGTACTTTAAACGTTTTTCAAAATGTTCTTTTTGGTTTGTACTTGGGGTAAATTACTTAATACTGAACTACTTAATAATTTGAAATGAAAAAATTATCCAGCTGCAAATGCTAAAAGTCGTTTCATATAATTTTTACTTTACATAAGAATGTTTAATGCAAATTTGTGTGTTTTAACTTTATATATTTTTCTACTTGTTTTGTTTATGATAAATTATTTTTCATTTATATATTAAATATGCCATACATATATATGTCTTAATGATTGCATGATACAAAAGTATGATTGTTAAACGGTTAATCTCAATTCAAGGTAATGTTATGTAAATAATATGTCAACAAATTTTAAAGGCTGAATTAACTTTAAACGCAGAGGCTCGTGTAAGAAAAGACCAAATTTATATTGTTAATAATAAATTATCGAACTTAGATTTAAATTTTATTTTGTATTTCTGTTTATTTATTGTGAGCAATACATTTTTTTAAAAGTATTTTGTCTTTGTATGCTCCTATGAAATTCCTCATTATTTAACTTTTGCCATTTTGTTCTTTTTATGTGGACAATATGTATTGCAATTATATTGTTGTCTTAACAAATTTTATAATTAAGCCATTTTACTGATTTTTTTGTTTGTTTTTAAATTGATAATAAAACTAGTCTCTGCCTGTTTAAACCAAAAAACAGGGTTTTGCTTCCAAAAAGTACCCACTTGTAATTCTCCTCCACCTAAAGAATTTACCCCATCAGATATACACAATTAAGTCCTCCTATATATCCTTGCCAAAATTATAGAAAAACTCCTTAAAACATTATTTCAGAAAAGGATCGAGCCTGACACTCGGCCTGCTTTGGAAACTGAAGAACATCCTCTCTCATGCGTACTGTCTCATGCTGAGATCATATCAGATGGACCGATTTTGCCAAGTCTGACAGGGAACTGAATTTTCAGTTCAATAATACACTAACCTTATTAGACCAGGTGTTCCTCTGGGAAGCGTTCTTGGCCCATTGCTTTTTTCAGTATACACTGCAGATATTCCTACACATGTTAACATTTCAGCACATACTTTCGCTGATGATAAAGCGATTTTTGCATGCAATTCAGACCCCTTCATTAACACTCAGCACTTACAACACATGAATGAATTAACAGTACGGTTCACAAAGCGAAGAATGAAAATAAACCTAGCAAAATGAATAACAGATAAATTTTATCAGTGAGAATAACTTCCCATTGCCTACAGCTGACCTTGTGCACTATCTTGCACTTTTCTTGGAAAAACGACTGTCTTGGAATCCGCACACAAGAGTGAAAAAACAAGAAACAAACCGACCTTATAAATTATTTAAAAGACGGTCAAGTGATCAAAATTATGGTTGTGAAGTGTGGGGCTCGACCAAGGACCCAATTCACAATGTCTCTAATCAAATTAGTCTAAAATCTCCATCAAATATAAATTCTCCTTTTTTATGTTTGAAATAAAATGATTCATAACAACGTAAACACCCCATTTGCGCATAACCTCATCAAAATCTGCTAGAAAAAAATTTCGTCAAACACTGAGCATCCAAAATAATCTACTAGAACAATTGTTATTACATCCAGCCATACCAGAAAATCCACCAAGACAATTAAAGCAAAAATGTCCCGAGGTCTTCTCACTATTTGATGAATGACAAGGTGTCAGTGTGAAGAAATGTAGTCACTGGGCAATGTCTCCTACAAGTGACTCAAGCGATAAATTCAGAATAGTATGTAGAAATTATTTACCTAATATAATTTTTGTATATTATTGTGTTGTCAATAACCAATAAATGTAATATAAAAAATATTATCAAAAGCTGGGAATAGAGGGTTTACAATTAAAAAGTCCCTTGTTAATTCTTTTTTTAATTACACAAATAAACACAAAAATGAGAAAAAGTTAATACTTTATCAAATAATATTTTAAACAAATTTCAACAAAATTATAACAGCTATATTTACAATAAATGGCCAGTTATGTACAAAAATGGCTACTTTTTTTTTTTATTCATATACAGTAGCTTCGTAGGCTCTGGTGAATCAGACATGTTAGTGGGTGTGACACATAAATTGATGATGGATGGTTGATGATTGGTGAATATTGATGAGGGAAATAAATCAGCATCAGCGCTATCTTCAACCAGGACACCAACTGCTTCTTCAATTTCATCCTTCGGTTCTGGAACTGCATTTTTATCTGAACTTCAGTCATTTCAGTGCCTTAGAGGACTCCATTCTCTTGCTGACACTCAGATATTTATCTGTCTACAATAAAAATGGGTTTAAAATTGTAAAATTTTATTACATTGATAATTTGGATAACAATTTATTTATAAGAAAACTTTTTTTTAACCAGGTTAATTGATTTTAAAAAACAACAGTGGATAAACAAATATTGTAAATAGAAGACCTTCTAGCAGAATTTAAACTAAAAAATAAATAAATAAAAATGATATAACCAGATAATTTTGTCAGCTCATGCAACTGTATCGCATGTGGGAAAAATGCCAACCAAACTTTCATAATGTCAATTCTTTATTGAACTGGCACTGGATTGCTTTTGGGTGAGTCACACTCACAGGCTGACCCCAGAGACCAACACCCACCGTCAACTTTGTCAATTCTCTTTCAGACTAAGCCAAATCAATAATAAACATGTGTCAGTATTATATTTGTCCTACATAAAATCATGCTTCAGTGAATGCCCTCAACACATGCATGTTATAAAGCTAAACACAACCCTCATTCTCATCTATGCATTGCTCTGTACTTATCAATTTTAGTGGGTTGAAGGTACATGATGATGATGATGATGAAAGAAACTATGAGATGGTTGTTTATGCTCCCCAAGCACTGCAGCCTTCTGGTATTTTCCTATTTTCTTAGTCTTTAGTTCAGTCTGTTGATTCGATCCTTCTTTTAAGGAGTACTATCATTGACTGCCATAGCTACAATTCCTTTCCCTGGGTTTTCTTTGTATCCCAGGTTATGTCTCCATTGAGCAGTTGCTTTGCTCATCTTAGATTATATAGGTGGCTGTTTCTTGCTCCTCATTGCATAACCTACAAATGAGGTCATCGTTGAATTTTATGTACATGTTTGCTCATATGCCAGGGATAGGTAAATGGTCCTATCAGGCCTCCGACTTTAGCCCTATCTAACTGCAGCAGTGAGTTTTGGTGAGGGTTGCTTTAGCATAAGTTTACTGTGTCTAGCGCCCTAGAGTTTATCCATTTCTCCTTTTGCCTCTTCTGGATCCATTTGTGATGAGGATTCTATGTTTGTTTTTGTTATCCCAAGTATAGGTCAGGGTGTATTTACTGTATTGCAGGTCCTTCTCTGGTCAGTGTGCCTGTTTTTTCTTTATTTTTCGTTCTAGCACCCAAGATATCACCAGGTTGTTGTGTTTCTCCGGGTTTTGGAGATTTTGGATGCTTTTACAGATTAATTTCAATATGATTTTTTACAGGCTATTGCTTTAAAAGCTGCTTGGCTTATCTTATGAGGGTTTTTGCCATTGCAACCTCTTTCAAGATTTTTCAAGCACAACTATTGATGGCATGAGTTTCAGCTTGAAAGACTAAGGTGTCCTTACTTAATAAGTCTGATTACTGATGTTTTGGGCATGTACAACGCCTGATCCGGTTCCTTGAAGGTACATACTTGACATTCTAAGTGTATAACTAACTTCCTTTTTAATTATTCCATTATAAGTTGCATTAAAAAAAATCATATGTAGCAAAATTTTTGTTACTCATTACATTATACAACTTACCCAAAAATAACCTAAGTTAGGGTTGAAGTTAGACAGTAGCATTTCACCGTTGACCCAGTGACACAATATATTCACGCTAATAAATACATTTGATCACATAAGACAAGTAATCACGCAGTATTATATTGTGGACGGTTAATGGTTAGATTGAAAAAAGTCTTACTGTGCTCAATGGGTTGTTCTATATAAAATTTAATTATTCTATTATATAAAATATCATATATTGTTATATAAAATATATAAATACAGTTTGTTGTTTATTATTATTATTAATCAATTTATTATTATTAAATTCAAAGGTGAGGTTGAGATGGGAAGTTAGTGTCCAAGTGGATCAAAGTCACGAAGGCTCAAGTAGTAGCGGCGTATCTGCCGAAGGTCGTGGGTTCGAATCCCGCTCGTTACACTGACTTTTTTATCTCAACTAAAAACCTTAATTAATTGAAAGATATTAATTAGTCAAGCGGACCACGAAAACTAGTGAATTATTATTAATGTTTGTTGTTATTTTGTAATTATGTCCTGATTTATATTCTTTGTAAAAGGATCTTTGATTCGTATGTATGTATATATAAATAAATATAGATAAATAAATAGGAGTCTTGTGGCGGCACTGCAGCGGCAACACTGCTGTCAAGAAGAGAGTTCTAACGGTTTCTGCCACCACGTGCATTTCATAGCATAAACTTTGTTCGATATATGACTATATTTGTACGTTATTGTACATCTGCATAAGTAACCACCGAGTTTAGGACTTAGTAAGTACAAATTTCTGAAACAACGACGATGCCGCATGATGGTGCAGACTCGAATAATACCTACGACTCCACGTTATTGGACGAAATCAACAGAGGATCCATACAAATACCGCCTGTTTGGAGGGAAGACATCAAACTTTGGAAAATAAAGGTAGAAGCTATATTTTCAACACATAGGATCACTACGGAATCGATGAAATTTAACTACGTCCTTGCGTCGCTGGACTCGGAAGTGGTCAGGCTGATAACGGATTTCTTGCGTCGAGCCCCGACCCAAAAACCTTATTCAGACTTGATGGACAGACTCGAACAAGAGTTTGGGGAATCTCAGGGACTAGAATTAACGAAATTATTAACAGAAATAGAGTTGGGAGATAAAAGGCCTAGTCAGTTGTTAAGAGAAATTCGCGCGCTTGCTGGATCTCTAATAAACCGTGAAGATTTGCGTTGGGCCTTCATGCAAATGTTGCCTGCTAATATAAGATACGTACTAGAGTCAAGTACTGACAGCTTGGATAATTTGGCTATAATGGCAGACAGAATCCTAGATTATTTGAATACTTCTTGTGTCTCTACCAAAAATATTCTACCCCCTCCCTCACAAACCGTTTTGTTCCAAAATCAGCTTTCTCAACTTGAACAGCGAATTGCGCAACTTAGTTCTTCTATTAAAAAACTTGAATTACGAAACCGTCCACGATCACGTTCACAATCACATTCGCGACATCAACCTAACGGGTTTTGCTGGTATCACGATAAGTTTGGAAAGAAAGCCAGAAAATGCAAAAGCCCCTGTACTTTTTGAATGAACTATCAACCAAGCAGCAATCTCAACAGTTAAGAATTCAAACCACAACCACCAACCCTTCAACCACCGTCTACACGAGATACCACTACTCTTGAAGGATTTCTCCACAAATCATGAGATGAAGTGTCCTCTTTCTTTTCTTCTATTATCATTCCTTTGTCACTAGTAGGGGGCAGCAGAACTACATGTTAAGAAGATAAACTTTTGATCTCTTTAAAAGAGAGTTCTTACTGTTGTTTTAAACTATCCGCATTTCAAGCTTAAAGCTCATCAGCATTTTGACGGAGTTACAAGCACGTCTCTCGACATGTCAACCACTCTTACAATTCATGTCGAGAGACGTGCTTGTAACTCGGTCAAGTAGTTGATGAGCTTTAAGATTGAAAAACGGATATTGCAAGCAACAAACTGTGTATAAGAACTGTCTTTTAAAGAGATTAAACAACATACTCACCCCACCTTTATCATTTCCAGAAAAGCTTTTCATTCTATAAACTCTGATGTTTGATGAATATGTATGTGTATTTGTATAATATATTATGTAATGTATCCCCATAATCTATTGGTCCCTCCCTACAAGTATACTAACCATAGGAAAAGAATTTGTCTTCTCTAAGATTTTGAGTATTTTCCTAGAACTTGTAAGTGTAATAACAATAAATGTGATAAATATTATTGTTATGAGTGTGAATGTCCACCCATTAGATCTCGAACGTTTGGATATTTAAAAAATACAAAATTATTTGTGAAAAAGTAGAAAAAAATTGTTTAATTGGAAATTAAATAATGATAAATGCCTTGCCTATAAATGTTTGATCCCCGTCGATTCTGCCTAAAGCTTAGCTGAAGAAATCAACCAACCATCAGCGTAAACATGGTGAAACTTCTGGCCCCCTGTCATAAAAAATATAAATTTATTTATTATTATTGTTATTTACACATACAACTTTAGTTACAATAAGTAAATTTGATAATTCATTGTCTAATATAATTAAACATTATGGGAGATGCCAACCACTGACACCCTCACACTGCACACGCTTCACATCAGTGAAGCAAATCCTTAGACCATTGCTTCCAGCCGACGCCGATTTGCAGGTAGATTTCGTGTGGAAAGTTGTTGTGCGAGGTTGTTTGGGTGTAGTGTGGAATTTCTGACGTGTTCTTACAAGATCGTAGGTAAAAATAATAAATATTGCCTTTCTTTCTCCAAAGAAACAAAGTACTTTGATATAACCGTTGACCAAAGGGGAACACACATAGGCAACAACCTGCGTAAAGCCAATGCTCTATTAAGCATTGGCCAAAGATTATGCAGTAAAAACTGGGGAATAAATCCGAAAATGGCGTACTGGTTATACACTACAACAGTCAGACCCTTGGTCACATATTTAGCTCTAGCATGGTGACCAAACACTGAACAAGAAGAGCTGTCTCTACGAAGTCTGCAGAGACTAGCGTGTCTCAACATGACAGGGCTAATGCATACCTGCCCCACTACAGCAATGGAAAAAGCACTCGACCCTTACATGTTTATGTAAAAAAGGAGGCTTTTAAAGGTCAATAAACTCCTCAGATATAGGAAAATAAAACCAGATTTAAGGATGAGCCTCTATAAAATCTAGAGAGAATTAAAATAACTGAGATGGCTATAACGGTATCTGACAAAATGAGAGAAAAGTCAATTTTGACAAACCCTTCCAAGTGGATATAGATAATAGAGACCTTTGGAAGAAAGGTAGCTCCAAGTTTTAAGAAGAGGTCGTAATATGGTACACAGATGGAGTGAATAACAGTAAGTGGGCGTAGAGATAACAGGGCCGAACTACACCCTAGCAAAGCCCCCACGATTTTTCAAGCTGCAGTCCAAGCAATACAACTCTGTGAACAGGGGATAACAAACAGCAACATCAAAGGTGCACAGATTTACATCTCAGACAGCCAGGCACTTATAAAGGCAATGCGTGGGCTTTCAACTAGAAACTTGTATGACAGTACCTAAACCGCCTAATGACTCTGGGAAAACAGAATAAGATGACCTTAAAGTGGATTCCCAGATATGAAGGAAATAAACAAGCTGACGAACTAGCAAACAAAGAGGCAGCTCTCTTACCAATGGGACCAAAGCCACAACTAAGTGCACCAAAGTGTATGCTTAAGTTGGAACTGGAAAAATGGAGTGAGAAAAACTCACAACACTGGACAAACGCACCAAATATTAGGCAAGCTGAGAGATTTATAAATCTCTCAAAACGGAAGGCGAAGGAACTTCTAACTCTCAGAAGGCATGATTTGACGAAAATTATGGGCCCCTTTACAGGCCACTGTCCTCTTAAATATCAACTTGAGAAGACGGGCAAAGCCAGGAGGAGGTAAGGTAAGTCCCGTGTTGATGCCAAAGTTTGTTGAGGAATTGCTGCAGCCCAAGCAGCTCTTTGAACAGTCTTAGTTAAGTGCTCTATTGCAACAACGATATCTTCTATCGTCTTGAAATTGGTACTTAATTGATATATCTGTCTGTGATGTATTTGAACATGTTACGGTTTTCAGGTCCCGTATTTAAAGAAGGTGGTCGTCTAAACAGTAGAAGTTGGGAATTTAGGGTTAGTAGAACTGGGCAGTGGTCAGAGGGTAAATCTTGAGAAGTCAGAATGTCAAAGTGAGAAGTGGAAAAACCAGATATAGAGAAAATAGGCTGAAAGGTAGGGTCAGAGTGAGAAATAAAGCCATAGGTTGATGTGGATGGTGCCTTCAGAAGAGTCCGCTTACGTTGATGGAAACACGGCATCCCCGCTGTAGGTGCTTGGCTTTGTAGTCACCGCCCGCCAAGAAAGGAGTACCTAAAGATTGGATAAAGTAAAAGAATTGCTGATTAGAGAATGGTTCGTTGGGAGGACCCACACGGCTGCTCAAGGTGGAAGAAAATGTGTCTAAGGTGACGGAAGAGAACAACAAGGAGACGGAAGGTATGCTTGGGTTAAGGAAGGGAGACGGAATTACGAATAAGCATTGCCGTTACACCGTCAGATCTTTCGGCATGATAGTCCAATAGGTCAGGTCACTTATTGAGAAGAGTGAAGTTGGCTGGCAATGCTGGTACTAAGAATCTGACAGTGAGATTTTTGACATTTCGCTTTGTGCTTATCATCCTTTTAATCTTATTAGAGGAATTTCCCGCAGGGGTAGGCTATTCCTTCTGGGCAACACGGGATGAAGCAGTGGAGCATCATCATCACGGAAGGAGTTGTACTTCCACATCTGTTTCCCTAAGGCCCATAATGGGCCGATGTTTAATTTATTCAGTGAAAAAATATATGTACAAAAGTTTATTATTTACAACAATATTTACAAGGTGTGTACACAATATAAACAGTGTGTACAATCGGGGACGTGATATTTTTATCAACGCTTGTTGACAGCAGTCAGTTTGCAACTTGACCTTTGGTCAGACTACGATTGCATTCACTATTACTTTATGCAGTCGGTGCCTAATTACGGGCTTTGACACTATAATTAAGCCACAACATTATCACTATTTCGTAAGGCATTAAAGTAATTTAAAAATTAGATGAATTTTAACACAGGACCACTGATAATTCTCACACGGAAGATAACAGAGTGTAGAATGATTTGAACTGTATGACTGCCAACATGAGACTCCAGTAAAATTTTAATTCCAGTTCTTAAAACTAATCTTTTTTGATATACCAGGTAATGTAACGTTTAGCAAGCGAGACATCTACATCAAGCAATCGGTAGAATGTGTTCTAAACTCGTGCGAAGAATTGTCAGATTGGTAATAGCCATCTAATTTTATAAACATTTCTCGCCCATTCGGCACCAAGACTAGACCTAAAACAAAAGTTGAATTAATAGTGGTTACTGCTCTTTCTTTCAAATAGTACAAACACGCAATAATTACAAACAGCTGAGGTCATCGCCGGCTATCTGCGTAATTTGATTTCTTTTCCTGGTCTTTCACGCGTATTTTTCATCCTGCTGCCATGTTCATCACTCGACGTAAGATCTTTATGACCTGGAAAAATGTTCGTCAAAACAGTTGAAGAAAATCAGACAACAAAATACAAAGAATAGCACATAAAACACGAACTAAGGCCAGTAAAAGGCAAGAAGAAAAATTCAAAGCATTTTTTCTATGGAAATTCGCAACAGCAGAAATATCATCCCTCGGGCTGTTGGTATTTTTGAATAAAAAAGCACATTTGGAATGCCGGGTTCGAATGTAGGGCCGCTGAATTCGAACCCCGGACCTTTACCTTACAGTGATTAGAGCCCTGTCGAGGACTTAACCGTCCCTGCCACCGACGCCCTTTGTTAGTCAATTGAACGTTTTATCTATTAAATTATGCGTTAATTAGTCTAATAGAGGTAAATTCAAAAATCCGATGGAGGATGACCGATCGTCAATATTTCTAACTACGCATCAAATTAATTAGGTATGGACTATATATATTCGAGTGGTTATCAAAATTGTATGTTTTTGTGCAATAACATTTAAAATAAATAATTACTTTTGAAGGCCTTTTTATTTGATGAGCGAAAGCATTTTCAAACGTATTATCGAGTATGTAATAATTTTCTTTGTTTTCATTTGACATTGGTATTGTCGTATTGTACACCAATAAAATTTGCATACAGTGAGAGATAAATTTGTAATCTAATATGAACAATAAAGTAGAACAATCAATAGAAAGGGGCCATTTTTCATTCTAAATTAAAATCGCTTGCTAAATAAATTGTTTTTTGTTTTTGTTTGTAAGAAATGGAAAAACTTCACGAATATGAGGTAAAGTTATTATGTGGCATCAAGGACACGCTTTCCTGTGCCACTGGAACCATGGGTACGACCCAACTACGTCCTTGGAGGTGCTGTTAAACCGCTCCATTTTCTAATCCAAGGAGAAGTCAGAGCAGCGGCCCACATACTCATAAATCCATTAGTAAAGACGACCATCTGCAAGGACAGTCCATGTCAACGAACGACGTAAACTGAGGTTATATGGAAGACGCCTTGCCTCAGTAGGCTTGCCGATCGACGCCATTACTCCAAAAAACAAGGTACTTATACCATAAAGGGAAGAATGGGCACTGGGTGAGGGAGATATGTTGCCCAAAAATAACGTACCTGTGAATTAGCATCCTGCCACAAAAAATGAATCCTTAATGAGTCTAAAAACCTGAAACAGCTACCCACGCGTGATACACCTGAAAAATTCATAGAAGGACCAACCGTAAGTCTTACAAACTTATTGGTAATCAAAACAGAACCAAGAGTCTGGTTGGAATCCTGACAGGGCACAGCCAACTAAGAAGACAAACGCACCTATTAGGAGTATTGACAAAAGAAACACTGAGCAGATAATGACAGGAAGAAGAGACCGCGGAATAAGTTTTATGTTTTGGTGAGGCTCTATGTAGGTATACATTCTTCCAACAACGAGAGGAAAAGGTGCAAGCCTGACCTTACGCTAAGGAGCCCCTGGCAAGGCTGTGGAGGGTGTCTAACAACCTGAATTTGTATGACTATTATTTATTGATATGCCAGGATGTGGGGGACGGGGTTCAACGTTGAAGATGTGACTAACCAAGGCGCACTCCACACCCTAACCGTTAAGATACTTAGGTGAAGACGGGACGAAAACCGGCGTACGCCGCCCTAATTTTAAGCTCCAAGAACTTAGCTTTCCTTTTTTAGGGTTTTCTTTACAATCAGTCTTACCTCTGATTTTTAATATACAATTATAACATTCAAGGCTGATATTAAAAATATCCGAAATAATCCGAGTGTATGGAAGTCACAACAGCTCAAGTTGTTAGAGAAGCGGCGTATTTAGCCGAAGGTCGTGGGTTCGAATCCTGCTCGTGACACTAATTTTCTCATCTCAACCAAGACCTTAGATAAAAAGTATAATTAATTGAAATAATAGGTCAATTATGTCTGCTAAACATATACGGATTATTATCCTAAATAATCATTTTATCATTTTATTGGATCCGTAACGACTCGCGGGTTTAGATTTATTTCGAGCGTTTCGGCTTCATGCCATTATTCGATGGGAAATTCTTAACTCACACAGACGACTAAATTATTCCTTTGAAAAATATAAAATTATATTTTTATTGTATACATTCAATTTATTAAGAAATAGTATTCATCAACTGATCACAATATTATACGCGGTTGACACACGGGCACCTGCTTTTGGTCCAAAGCCCGCGCAGGTGCTCCTTATGCAGGGAAAGGTAGCTCGAAGTGTCCCACATAATAGAGGCGTATCATGCCTTGGCTCCATACAGAGAGCGTGTAGGTATGCCGCCGGATTTAAGAATGGTTCTCGAACACGGTAGCGAGTTTCAGGATCCCCTGTTCCGCCCTTTGGGGTAATTGGGAATTTTTGATTGTATATTAAGTATTTTAACTTGTATGTTAAGTTATGTGTTTTGTGTTTCTGTGTCTTGCATGAGTGAATGTATTTATTGGTGTGAATGGGGAGGGGCTGATGGCGAAGTAGCTCAATTTAGATTAGTTTATTAGTAGGGAACAACTAGATAGAGGAATATGAAGTACTCCATCTACCAAACAGAATGAGTGCTATCAATGTATGTTGGTGTGAATGTATTTATTAGTGTGAATGATGAGTGGCTGATGGTGAAGTAGCTCATGTTGCGTGCTTGACTTGGGTCTACGGCGGACAACTTTTAAAGTACCACATCGACCCCAATTTAGATTAGTTTGTTGTAGGGAACAGGTAGATGGAGAAATATCGAGTACTCCATCTACCAAACAGAATGAGTGCGATCAATGTATATAGATATGAATGTATTTATTGTTTTGATTGTGTATAGAGTGTGTAGGAGTATTTTGTTTGTGGTTCGGGGCTGAAATGACCAAGCTGTCAAATGCCCCTGTCAAAAAATAAATAAATATCGGTAGTAGCGGGGAAACTAGAAATTTCATTGTAGACTGATTGAATGTGTTGCTCGGCATCTTCATAATTATTTCCGGATCACAAACAGAACTTTACAACTTGTTGTCATCGCAAAAATGATCCCATTTGTTTAAATTCATTACATTTTCTTGTCCAATCTCTCGAAATGAATGCCATTAATTTTTTTAAAATTTATGTTTAGTCTCAATCACTTTGACTTTATTGCAATACGCAATCTTTTAAAAATGAGCCACTCGCGTTTTCCAAACAAGTGATACAACTAATCTAAATTTTATTTAAATGGTGAAACGCCTCTCCGGAATATTTTAGGTTTAAGCTTTCGGGTAGAACTTTTAAAGCCTTTTTTCCTTCAAGACCTTTTATTAACCAGGGTATTTCAACTAGGTTATATGAACCCTCGCAGTGCCGCCAATGTTTATGAAAAAAAAAAAAAGCCCAATTGTAAGTGTTGTCAGTATGTCGGGTTCGAACCCGGGACCTTTACCTTACAGTGAGTGCCGTGTCAATCCTCTTTCTTTAAAATGAAACTATGTCGGTCATTGATGTCATTGCCGACGTTGATTGTGTCAAATATCTTCTTTGGTGATTGATCAGCCTTCTCAGTTTAAATATTTTTCTTTCCAAAAGGTAGATTGGGGACAAAGATGATTGTATTCAAATAACGCATAGGGAAAAACTCGAACGATGATCATAATCCACATATTATCCCTAAGTCGTTTATTGAATCTAATTTCAATTCAAATATTTAAATAATAATAAAATGCTTCCAATAAGAAAATGCTTCCGCCTAAATATTTCGATTTGATTTTGTTTTTACATCTCCCACAAGGAAAACAGTTTATCAAACGATACATCATAGACTATAATCGGCGAAAATATTGAAAATAATCAATTCCTATAAAAACAATTAATTGATACAGACAGACATTTTAGTAAGTGGTCTAACGTGAAGAGGCGAAAATGATTAACCTAAATAAATATACAACGTAAATATTTTGATTTGATTTCCTTGTTACATCTCCCACAAGAAAAACACTTTATCAAACGATACTTCATAGACTATAGTCAGCTAAAATAATTAATTCCTATAAAAACGACATTAATCGATAGTAGACGAACAATCTAATAAGTGGGCTGACTCGAGGAGGCGAAAGTGGTTAAATTTTTATCCGAAATTTGGAAACGTCCGAATGGGGTAGGTAATGGCGTTTGAAGCCTCCCACCAGCGGACGACGAAGAATCGTGCATTTAAATATCATTACAGAATAGATAAGGAGTGATGTGCTCAAGGCCTTGAATTAAAGACCAAATGTGAGAAAGGATAAAAGGTGGCATCCTTTCATGTTGCCATTCAGTCCGTTGCCAACATCCAGAAAGCGCAAATCCCATCGTTATGAGTAAGTTCTGTCAAACGTATACATACATACATGAACCTGGGAAACCTGCTTGTCCTGCCTAGGTCGTTGTATATCGCTTTTTTTAAAAATCTGCTTGTGCCTCTTTATTAACTCTTTACTAATCAACATTTGATAATTTTATTTTCAAAAAATCAAATTAAGTCGTACAATTAAAAAACTATTATTTTGCTTCAATACTGCAAATTTTATTCAATACAAATATAGTGCTGCTCTATCTACAATTTAACTCAGGAAATTACACTGCTCATTAAAATTTAAAAAAACCGACCACCTGGTTTGTTCTCAGTCTTTTAAGTCACAGTCCTGAGTTAGGTCTCATTTTTAGAAAATTTGACGCTGAACAAGATGGCTTTTTTTGCAATATTTTCCAAGCTTCAGACATTCATCAGTAAATTTAAAAATTCGGGAACACGTTAATTTTTGCACTTTTGCACTTATCCTATAATCCTAAATTTTTACAATATCTCCAGCCTTTTAGGTCACAGACCTCCGCTCGGTCTCATTTTTTAGACAATATTACGCAGAAACAGATGTTTTTTGTTTCCTAGCTTCAGTCATTCATCAGTAAATTCAAAAATTCCGGAACATGTTAATTTTTGCACTTTTTTATGAAAATTTCAAATTGAGCTGTGGAGAAAGGAAATTTGTACTTTCTTGAAAATCGGAGAGAGAGTGATCGGTTTTTTTTTATCGATGAGTACGTAAAAAACCACGTTTTTCCTCAAAAATCGCGAATTACTCAAAACGGTTGAGAAATCTGCCAAGTGGAAGGTGACCACTTGAAAGCTAATTAAAACTTCTTATCGATTGCTATAGGGCGCCGCTCAAGGACGATTTCCTGGCTCCACAGCTCAATTTGAAATTTTCGTAAAAAAGTGCAAAAATTAACATGTTCCCGAATTTTTGAATTTACTGATGAATGACTGAAGCTAAGAAATAAAAAACATTTTGTTCAGCGTAAAATTGTCTAAAAAATGAGACCTAACGCAGGACTATGACTTAAAAGGCTGAGAAAATATGCATTTTTTTAATTAATTAATTTTTTTTTGATGGACAGTAAATTATTATAGTAATGGAATTGTTAACAAATAATTTTATAATATTTTTACTAACAAAAATAAAGATATATTGCAAAAATTTAGGATTATAGGATAAAAATACCGGCACTTCTATTAATTTCTTTCAACATTTTATTTTTTTTTTTAATTTATAAAGGCTTGCAAAAATTAGACTCCTAAAATTGGGTGTTATTAAAAAATATTTTATTTAACAAACAATAAATACGATTCCATAACAAATATTTTATTTTGAGCCTGAGGGTTATCCTGGTCGTTTTCTACCCTGAAGATAGCTAGAAGCCAAATCAGTCCGCAGTGAGCAAGTATAAGATGATCAAAACTATGGCAAAAGGATAGCTACAAATTTGTGACCTGTTTGGGGGAATACACAATTGAAAGACAACACTCAAAGTATTTGGCTAGTATTTTTGTAAAGGTAGTTTTTTATTGAATGCAATCGCGTGGGGGAAAGCAATAAAATTTAACTAGAATATCGTGTTCATTTATAGATTCGCAAAACTTGTCTTAACATAGAGGAAAAGAAAACTATGTCAGCATAACATTGGAACAAATATTTTTTAAGGAGTCATATTAAATTTAGGATTTTTAACAGAATATTTTGTTTATGATTTCGTTAATAGTAATCACACTTGAAAGAACATAACAAAAAAAAATTTTAACAGACCGCTGTTTTTAAAAACATGTATTAAATTGTAATAGAATTTGAAGATTCTGAACCTACTGAACCTTCTTTAACAGACAATTATTTCGTTATGAATTTTTTTTTTAACTGTAACAGGCACCTGAAGGGGCAGAATAAAAAACTTATTTTTTAACAGACCATTTTTATCACGATTTTCTCAATTTTAATAACACTTGAAAGAACAGAAAAAACCATTATTTTTTAAAAGACTGTTGTTTTTGAAAACATGTATTAAATTGTAATTGAACTTGAAGATTCTAAATCTAATGAACCTAATCATTTAACGGACAATTATTTCGTTATGATTAAAAAAAATGTAAAAAACACCTGAAGGAACACAACAATTACTCATTTTTAGCAGACCATTTTTAGTTTTATTTCTTTCAATTATAATCACACTTGAAAGAACAGAACAAAAAAGATCAGTATCGTGTAAACAACAAATCTGTGAATTGAAAAACTAAACTAACTAAATCCAAGGCCCTGAAGATGATCTCAATAAAGGTCGAAACGTTGGCACGATAAAGAAAATGTTTTTTTAAACCTACGTCACACCAGGCCGCATCTCACGATCTCCGAACAATCATTGACTAACGGTCACTAAACACCACACATATAAATTTTACGTTGGAAATAAATAAAGACGGGTGTTTAAACTTTTTAGATTTAAAACTGTCCATAAAAATAACCTAATTGGATTAGCCGTATATAGAAAACCCACAACTACTGACACCACAGTACCAGCATGTTTTTCTCAACAAAGGACCCAAAAAGCTGCTGGATTCATTCTCATAGACCTTATGTTGAAACTTCCATTAACACCTGCTATTTATAAAAATATAAGCAATTAAAACATTAGCTAAAAACAATTGATATAAAGAAATATACTTATAGATAGGTTGCTAGTAAAAATAATAAAAAAATTAACTTTAAAAGAATCAACAATCTGACTCAGCCACCTGGCATAAATGAATCTTTAGGTTTTCGTTGGTTGCCATAAATTGGCGAACTATCAGAAAAAGTAATTCTTAAACAAGAAGGCGAGTAGCTTTTAGAGGTACGTGTTCACTTAGAAACATTCTCTCAAAACATAAAAACAAGGTTGACAACTAGTCAAAAAGCACGTTTTACCCAACTTAATTGTAATGCTTGATTTATTATATACATATAGGACAAAATGGCAGAGAAATTAAAACGAGAGTTAAAGAACACTAGCTTAAATCGAACAAATTCTTCTGTATTTAAGGACCATCTAAATGATACACAATTACAATTTAATGTGATAACTAACCTCATGATTGTGGGGTCGAGACTGGGGTAGAACTAGAACTACACGGAAAAAGGAAGATTAACTTATGTATTGAAATATAATACGTACAGGAGGCCTTACGGGAAACAGACTCGTCGCTTGCTATATTTTTCCTATTATGGTGGGAGGTCTAGGAGTGGATTTAGCTTGGTGGGAGTAAAGGGTTTCGGTAAGCCTTTATCTTGAGAAGACGGAACAAGGGGAAAGGTTTTAAATTATAATATTTAGAAATATTTGGGGTTATGGATACTACTTTAAATACAACGATTATTTGGAGATCGTGAGATGCGGTCTGGTGTGACGTAGGTTTAAACATTTTCTTTATCGTGGCATCGTTTCGATCTTTATTGAGATCATCTTCAGTGCTCAAAGTGTTTTCTGTGTAGATGTGTCATTATTGTGAGTCGTTTGGAGAGTGCCAGTGAGATAGCAATATCCGCCCTGAAGATGATCTCAATAAAGATCGAAACGTTGGCACGATAAAGAAAATGTTTTTTTAACACCCATCTCACGATCTCCAAATAATCATTGACTAACGGTCACTAAACACCACACATTAAATACAATGTTTATCTAACCTGTATCACACTAGACCTCATCTCACGATTTTTAAATAATCGTTAAATACAATTATTCTTTTCATCTAAGGTTTTGGTTGAGATGAAAAAGTTAGTGTCACGAGCGGGATTCGAACCCAGGACCTTTGGCCGAATACGCCGCTGCTCTAGCGAGTCATCGTGACTTCAATCCAGTCGGGTACCAACTCCGATCTCTACCTCATGATTGTGAACAACCTTTCAATTTTTCCCTCATTTTTGACATTTTTCCAATGGGTTCGAATCCCTCTAGTGACACTAACTTGTTCTTCTCAACCAAGATCTTAGATAAAAAGAAAATTAATTGAAATAATTTATAAGGTTAATTATAACCGCTAAACATAATAGGTAGATAATGGATGCTAAATATAATAATTAAATACAACAATGGTATATTCTCAACAAAAGGAGGAAGTACATTGGTTTGAGAAATTTGAAATAAAAAATGTAAATTAATTATGCTTTTTGTGTAAGGCCGTGGTCGAGAAAAGTTATTGTCACGAGCGGGATTCGAAACCAGAACCTTCGGCTAAGGCTAGAATTGAGGCCAGAAAACAATTACACCTTCAATTTGGATCTTTTTATACAACAACGCTTTCCACCTGTTGCACAAACTTCCTATGCAGTGCATTACGCTTCCTAATCTATTCAGTATTGTATCTTCCCTCCAAGGGGGAAAAAAAAGAAAAAAGGGAAAAAAGGAAAAGAGAGAAATCGTCAGCGTAAAGAGCCATTTTACGTTCTTTGGGTGAGGTCTTTTGTTGACATATCCAAGGAACAGGATTCAAGGGAGTAAAAATTTCTCTAGGGGAAGAGATGATGGAAAGGAAACTCGGAATTGTGTGATAAAAGCTAAGAGTATAATTTTTTGTAAATTTTTATTATGTAGTGGGGAAGATACATTCCACCATCCTGCCGATTATGCCACAATGGCAAACAGCGTCAAAAGACTTTTGGGTATCTATCAAAACCATGCCAGTACGATTTCTTACAATACAGGCTAGCGTTGTATTTTATAGAAATATTTATTTAATTGGAATAGTACTTGAAGAATCTAAACCATATGAAGCTTATCCTTTGACAGGCATTTTTTAATGATTTGATTCTTGAAGGAATACTTGAATGATGAGAATCTTTTATTAATATTCTCTTTATTATGATAATTTTATATGTGCCACAAGGAGTAGTTTTTTGTTTTACTAGTATACTCAAGGAATGTAAATTTCATGAATCTTATTAACCTCATTCTTTAACAGACTTTTCTTGTGATTTCGTTCAATTGTAACTAGAACAAAAACTTTATTCTTTGATTGACAATTGTTTTTACAAATATTTATTCAATTGAAATAATACTCCAAGAATCTAAACCTATGAACAGACAGTTTTTTATGATTTCATTCTTAAAGGAATTCTTGAAGGATCAGAATCTTTTATTATTATTCTCTCTATTATGATAATTTTATATGTGCGGCAAGTCGTAGTTTTTTGTTTTACTAGTAGTACTCAAGGAATGTAAACCACATGAACCTTAATAACCTTATTCTTTAATAGGCTTTTCTTATGATTTCGTTCAATTTTAACTAGAACAAAAAACCTTATTCTTTAATAGGCTTTTCTTATGATTTCGTTCAATTTTAACTAGAACAAAAAACCTTATTCTTTAATAGGCTTTTCTTATGATTTCGTTCAATTTTAACTAGAACAAAAAACCTTATTCTTTAATAGGCTTTTCTTATGATTTCGTTCAATTTTAACTAGAACAAAAAACCTTATTCTTTAATAGGCTTTTCTTATGATTTCGTTCAATTTTAACTAGAACAAAAAACCTTATTCTTTAATAGGCTTTTCTTATGATTTCGTTCAATTTTAACTAGAACAAAAAACCTTATTCTTTAATAGGCTTTTCTTATGATTTCGTTCAATTTTAACTAGAACAAAAAACCTTATTCTTTAATAGGCTTTTCTTATGATTTCGTTCAATTTTAACTAGAACAAAAAACCTTATTCTTTAATGGGCTTTTCTTATGATTTCGTTCAATTTTAACTAGAACAAAAAACCTTATTCTTTAATGGGCTTTTCTTATGATTTCGTTCAATTTTAACTAGAACAAAAAACCTTATTCTTTAATGGGCTTTTCTTATGATTTCGTTCAATTTTAACTAGAACAAAAAACCTTATTCTTTGACTGACAGTTGTTTTAAAAATATTTAATATAAATAAAAGAGAAATAAATCTCTACAGGAATCTAAACCTAATGAACCTTATCCTTTAAGGGACTTTTTTAATGATTTCGTTCAATTGTAATAACTCTTGTAAAGCCAGGAAAAACGCTCTTTAACAGACAGTTCCTTTCAAAAACTTCGCTAAAGTTTAATAGTACGTGGGAAATTTTAACCTAATGAACGTAGTTCTGTAACAGACATTTTTTAATGATATCGTTCGATTATGATAACCCTGTTAATGATGATCAGATCTTAAAAAAATCGAGATTGCTTAACATACAATTAAACATTAAGTCATAATTGAACCTAATTATTTTAAGTAATCACGCTTTCACAACCTAAGGTCTTGGTTGAGATGAAAAATCAAGTGTCTCGAACCTGATTTGAACCCACGACCATCGGTTTAATACGCCGGTAATTGCTCTAGATTAAAAGTGTAATTAATTGAAATACAATTATATTTTTCAACTGTAACAGCACTTGAAAATACAACAAAGAAACCTTATTAAAGTGTAATCAATTACTTTAATGATCAAGTGTAATGACACTTGAAGAACCAAAAAACGAAAAACATTTATCTTCAGAGGACCATTTTTTAATTTGTTTTTTTATGGTTTGTAATATTGAAAGAGTAGAACCTAAAAAAATTATTCTTTAACAGCCACTTATCAGATTTCGTTTAACTGTAATAAAACCTGAAGAACGTATTTTTTAATAGATCATTTTTCAGTTATTCCTTTCAATTTTTTTAAATTAACTAAACATCTTCAATCACTGTAGGTATAATTATTTAGAGATCGTGAGGTGCGGTCTGGTGTGACGTAGGTTTTTGAAAAACATTTTCTTTATCGTGCCAACGTTTTGATCTTTATTGAGATCATCTTCAGGGTTCAAAGTGGTTGTTTTCCGTGTAGATGTGTCATTCTTGAGTGTCAACAAACACTTTGAGAACTGAAGATGATCTCAATAACGGTCGAACGGTAAACGATGGCATGATAAAGAAAATGTTTTTCTAAAACCTACGTCACACCAGACCGCATCTCATGGTCTCCAAATAATCATTGGATAACGGTCACTAAACTTGAACACTTTACTAACACTTGAAAGAACATATAACATATACAAACCTTATTCTTTTTCAACTGCACTAGCACTCGAGGAAACATATTAAAAAAGTAGTCCTTTAAGAAACAATTTTTTACTTTTTAAAAAGTCGTGTTTTTTTAATATTAGACTCTAAAACAAACTTATTCTATAACATATATAGATTGATGACACATGAAATTTGTTTTCCTTCAAATGCAACGACACTAAAAGGTGCAGAACCTAAACACCTATTTTAGCAGGCTTTGGTTCAGATTTCATACAACTGTATAACCTTAATAAAACGTTATTCTTTAAGAGATCTAATTTCCTTTAACTGCTACATAAACTTGATTGATGACTAGAGTTTAAAAAGAATCAATTATTCTTAAACAGAAAAAAATTTTCATTTATAGTAGTATTTGAAGAACATAACAAAAATGTATTCTTTATTAAACCACTTTTTAATGATATCTTTCAATTGTAATAATACTACCAGAATATTAAAAACAATTATTTAAAGATCGTGAGATGCGTTCTGGTTTGATATAAGTTTAGAAAAACATTTTCTTTGTCGTGCCAATGTTTCGATCTTTATTGACATCATCTTCAGGGCCTGGGATTTATAAATAAAGATCAAAATGTTTGCAGGACAAACAAAATGTTTTTCTAAACTTACATCACACCAGACTGCATCTCACGAGCTCTAAATAATCATTAATTAACGGTCACTAAATACTACACAGTAAACAAATTTAACAAAAATTTTTTTCGACTGTAATGACATTTGAAGAAACAGATAAAATAGACACAATTATTTTAAATTACACTTATGGAGTCACAGTCAAAAAAGATTTATTCTTTGATGTTTTTTATTTATTTATTTTTTATTTTGAACAAATGTAATAATGTTAGAAGTCCATTGACCATTGAATGTGTTCACCTTTACTAACCCTTGAAAAACACAGAATCTAATTTAAAAAAATTAAAATAAAAAATGTACAAATATAAAAATACGTACAGATACGTAACATCTAATTTTTTTAAATTAATAAAATTGTGTGGTGTTTAGTGACCGTTAATCGATAATTATTCAGAAATCGTGAGATGCGGTCTGGTGTGACGTAGGTTTTAGAAAAACATTTTCTTTATCGTGCCAACGTTTCCATCTTTATTGGCAACATCTTCAGGGCTTGGGATTTAAAATACATTTATAATTCAATAAAGTTCAAAATGTTTGCACGATAAAGAAAATGTTTTTCTAAACCTACATCACACCAGACTGCATCTCACGATTAATTAACGGTCACTAAATACTACACAGTAAAAAATTACATCCTTTATATAGAATTTTTTCCGACTATAATAGCACTTGAAGAAACAGACAAAATAAGCACAATTATTTTAAATTAAATTATCTTTATGATTAAATTTTTTGAAGTTTTTGTTCGACTGAAATTACACTTATGAAATCATAGCCAAAAAAGATTTATTCTTTAATGTTTTTATTATTATTATTATTATTATTATTTATTTATTTTTTTTTTTTTTTAACAAATGCAATAACGTTAGAAGGCCATTGACGATTGAATGTATTAACCTTTCACCATTTGAAAAACATAGAATCCAGTTACAAAAAAAAATAAATAAATAAATAAAAAATATACAAATATAAAAATACGTACAGATACGTAACATCTAATGATTTAAATTAATAAAATTCTTGATTTTATGGGGATGATATAACATATTTTGTGTAATTTTACCTTAATTGTTTAACTAGTTGGTTTACTTTTGTTCGGTAAAAATTTTTAAAACTGTAAGGCACACCAAGAAAATAAATTTTAAAAATTTAAAAAAATTCTTTATAATCCAGAATAACAGTTTTTTAAATTAATTTTAATTTATTTATTCATAATTAAATTTAATTAAGTAATATTTTAACTTGGTTTCTTTCACTGATAAAAAACCGATTTCTCAGTTCGAAACAATGAATACGATTTGCCACAAGTTATCCGATTTGTAGTGTAGGGTGAAGGGTGAACGAAGTTAAAATCGTGGGAAACCAGACAATTACAGAAATGTATAACTGACACCCAATTGTCCTGGAATAAACTTGTGGAACCGCGGATTCTTGATCAGATTCGCGGTACGTTCCACTTCCCACCCCGACCACCTCGATATCTCGGTACTTTTTTGAAAACTGAACCGGCTAATCGCTCACGGGCTGAAGGAGAACCCCCGTTTTTAAAGATTTATGGTGGGGACGTCCCATAAATGACTGGGGCTTCGTCCTGAAAACACAAGTACGGTCGAGATGCCACCCAGCATGTCATCGGGCACATATGTTTTCAAAGGGGACCTCGGGTTTAACAGCACGGATAAAAATTTTGCCGTCATCAGTGAGTAATTATATATTAAATTATTGAACGGTTTTAAGCTACCAATCATTTTACCATCGTTTAAATCCCAAGCGCACCAATGAATCTCTTATTTCATGAAAATTGGGAATATATTCCAATAGTTGAAAATATGTATCGTGAATGAAAAACTATATTTAAAAAATTTCATTAATTTAAAAAAAATTAACAAAATTAAAATGACAATGATGCAATAAACAGAAAAATTGATAAAATCATAAACATAAACTCAATAACTTTAAATATTCAAAACAATAAGTCAATAATTATATTTATGAACAACTATTAACATGAGTGTTTGTATAAAAATTTTTTAATCCCATTTTTATAATTTTTTTACTTGCCTTTGTCTTATAGTTGTCTCGTGTGCAAATTATTTCCTCTTGTTCTAATTTGAGTTATTTTTTATATCAAAAAAGTTTTCGATTATTCCAAATACATATTAAAAAAATTCATGCTCCAGATGTCTATTTTCATTGACGTAGTATTTTTTTATAATTTCAACCGAACTTGTAATCTTAACGTCTATCCTGACGATAGATGCTAAATTTTAGAACGCTATCCGTTATGGTTTTAATTTTTTTCATAATTCTTTTAACTAACATTTGACATAATAAATGCAGTACAAAATCGTTCTTGGATTAGTTTATTAGTTTATATAGGATTAGTTATTATCATAAATGGGGTAGAACTTCGTTGATGAACCGAAACAATTTTTCACCAACGAACCATTCAGTTTTGCTTACTTGATGAGATTTTCCATGTAGGGTTGAAAAGTGACTTTTGATGAAAAATTATTTTCTGTTTCCAGATCGTTTTAGCAACCAGAGTGTTTTGAAAAATTGTTTAAAAAATTGTCGCTTAATGAGTCAAAATCTTAAAAATGAAGAATGTAACACCACGTTTCTGTAAATAAAATTTTACTCTTGTCTCATACGCCGTAGATATTACTCTAGTGTTTTATTTCCAGCTTGAGATTTAACTTTTAGGTTTAATTTAAGCTTCAGAGTAAGGGGCAGCAATGATTGCTTAGAGTTCATCAGTTGTTGATAGAATTATATCGTGATTGTCCCGAATTGTGGAAAGTAAAGAGTAAAGATTATTTCAATAGAAGTAAAAAAAGTGCGGCGCTAGGGAAAATCGTGGGGGTATTGAAAGTGCTAAAACCGGATTAAAATGTAAAGCAATTGAAACAAAAATTTAATGTTCTCAGAACAAACTTCAACAGGGAGTTCAAGGCCCTCTGGTTCCGATTCACACAGAAAGTTTAGAAGATGTTCATGAGTGAAGCGGTTTCTCAGTTTGTATCACTCCTTAGCCCACCGTCGTTTTTTCTTTTGCTGTTTTTTCTGCTTCAGGGCAACCAATGTTAAGGCTAGGAAGCCCAAATCTGTATTTGAAACCATTCAGCACCGAAACAAAACAAAAATCAAACAGCGAAACGCACTGCTCCAGTTCACGGCTTCCAGTGATGTTTTGACCGAAAGATTGAAGGGTTGATTGAAGCACGCTTGAAGCTCCCATCAACCGGAGGTTCAAGCATTTGATCAAGCCGCTTGATAGTGTAGGGGCACCTTTAGATAACAAAAAACCTGCGTATCACAAGGGAGCACTCTTGGTCCCCACCCAGTATCATTTAACGCTACAGACTTTCCATCCCAATCATTACCACGTATGCAGACAACACCTCAATTCTTTATACTAACCCGTTTCCTGTCCAGCCAACCTCCAACATCCAAGTACACCACTTACAACAGCAAAAATGGAACTGCATAAGGGAAAATATCCACAGTGTACTTGTTCTCAATAACGAACAGTCTTGCCAACAAGGAACTACCTTCTTCCAGACAAATACACCAGACTGTACATAGATAGCAGAACGACATGGAATCCTCATACATATTTAAAAAGACTTGGATAACTAGGATGACTTATAAGACAGAAATCTCTTTTGTCCAATCAAAAGCCATTACGACCACGGACGTTCCGCCAAGGCATCCAATATCCAGCTCATCCAATCATCCAATCTGTCCAATAAGACCTCAGACTAATTGTCAAAGCTCATTACTACGACACAAACCTGATTCCAGATCCATAAGTACCAAGGCAAGCTTCCAATCCAACATTACTGCCCAAGCAGTACTCTGACCAAGAGGAAAACAATTATATAAATAATAACATGGCATACAGAATTACGATAAGATAGTTAGGCAAATAGGTAATATTGGCTCACTAAAATTTAACCTACTTTTCTTATATAAGTTGAAAACAGAAATTTTGAAAAAACAACTATTCGATAGCAACATTTTTATCTATTTATAATAATTATTTACAACAAAAAATTATTATAATGCTTTTTCTCTCCTTAGACGTGTTAATATTCTTCCTTGGCTGATCCGAACTGGAAGAATATACGTTTGTAAAACGAGAACTTTGAAAAAAAAATCAAAAACTAATAATACACAAATACAAAAAATTAAAATTACCATCTTGAGAATCAAAGCGTCTTCGTCTTCTTGGACGTTCGTTCAGGTTGATCAGAGTTCTTCAAAATTTAAACGAAAGTATCTCCGAATCATAAAAAATAAGTTTGGATTACTTACTTTTGCTTAACAATTAAAGAAAATGACATGCAAATAAAGAGATAAAAAAGCGAATTTAAGTCTATTTTTCAGATAAAAAATGAACAGCCCTTGACGTAGATCTCAATAAAGGTCATTTATTGAAAACAAAGTTATATTCCAGGTCTCAAATGAAGTTATAAATGCAGGTAAATTAACCGAAGCTTCATGAATCAAGACACTCGCCGGAACAGCAGTTGGCTACGTCATGTTGACATGGCGTGCTCGTCCAGTCGTTTAAGTCGGTTGGCCAAAATGCCAAGTGATTACGCTCAATTAGCCTGTACTTGTCAGGTGGAGCAAATTTTGTGACAAACAAAATGGTGGACATTGAGGCTAAATTCAAAAGGTGCGGTTGAGATGGGAAGTTGGTGTCCGAGTGTCGAGGTCACGATAGCTCAAGTGGTAGAGCAGCGGCGTATCAAGCCGAAGATCGTGGGTTCGAATCCCGCTCGTGCCAATGACTTTTTATCTCAATTAAAAACCTTAATTAATTGTAATATAGTAATTGGTCAAGCGGACCACGAAATTAGTGAATTTAATTGAGGCTAAAGTTTAAGTTGGTTGACAGTATCGTCTGGAGTTTACAGTACTCTACATTGAAACTTTCATTTTGTCTTCACTCGAGATTGATGTCTTTCGAGCCTGATAAATAAATCTTTTCTCAGAAGGCAGGAATTAAGGAAAATAATAAGCTTTTATATTGACCAATACCAGTTAATTTCAATCTTGAAAAAATGGAAGGCAAGAGTGCAAAAGGGAAAATATCCACAGTGTACTTGTTCAATAACAGTCTTGCTGACAAGGAATACCGTCTTCCAGACAAATGCACAAGACTATACCTAGGTAGCAGTCTGACGTCGAATCCTCATAGATTTAAAAAAGACTTGGACAACTACAATGACTTATAGGACAGAAACTCCTTACAAGCCACGGACGTTCCGCCAAGGCATCCAATCTGTTCAAAAAGACCTCAGATGAATTGTCAATGATCATTACTATGTCATTAACCTGATCCCGCATCCATAAGTTCGACCCCAAGCTTCCAATCCATCCTAACTTTACTGCCCAAGCAGGGCTCTAACTGAGAGGAAAAAATAATATTACTTTAGTATAAACTGTTGCATTAAAAAAGAAAATTGGCCCATTTCCCAAAATTTCCCAGGCCCGGGAAATTTTTTGTCACCGATTTTAACGTTATTTCGTCTTTCCATGCTCTCGTCGATTCAGTTTCAATTTTTACTTGTATATTATTATAAACTATACGAGAAAAAAAAAAGCAATAGGAAAAATTGAGACAATGTCAATGTTCAGCAGGGACATTGAAACGTATTTTGTGACTACAAATGGGGCAGAAGCAGTACAGCGGAAAGGCGGCACTAACCATTGGAGAAATAAGCAAAGAGAAACACTAGAAAGTGCTCAACTACCTTAAAGCAAATTCTTGTGTTTCAAATAAAGGATGGTCCAATCCACAATACATCTACAGGGCATAGAAGAAAGGCAGTCATCAGGAGTGAACCCAGGAAAAACAAACATAATAAATCATACTCAAAAGTAAAGAAATAAAACGTATGCTCCACCCTTTAACAAATCTTTGGATGATTGACAATTTGATAATTAACGTCTTCTGAGACAAAATATCAACAAGACTGTCCCAGCAGACAAAAACAGCAAATTATAAAACAAAATGCGAATGGGCACGGGCAGATATATCGAACAGAGAAGAAGAAGAAAAATAGGAAAAATACATAGAACGACCGGTCATTATAGACAACGATCAGGAATCCTTACTTAACCATTTTCCTTATTTAGATCCCTTCTGCTCTTGGGAGTATCACAAGCATAAAAAATTTGTTTTATGGTGATGATGTTGTGCCAGTCACTATTAATCCTATTGTTGGGTCTCATTGGGTTGAAATTTAACATCCAAATTTAATCAAAATCCAAAGTCCAAGCAGTAAAATGGAGCTGAAAAACTGCTGATATAGGCAATTGTTAAAAATATCTCGGGCTTCGCACCATGTCTCCTTTTTTTCACATATTAAAAAAAAATCTTCTAAGGAAACGTTTGTCCTGAAAACAATCTGGCCTAATTTCATTGTCAAATGCCTACCAGTAATTACAAAGTCTAATTTCAATAATTAATAAATTAGTCTAATTGCATTGAGTATAATATGTAAATTGATCTTTTATACAGGTTTCCATCACAGGAGGAAAGAAAAACAACTTTTAAAACTGAATTTTAATCTGATTCTTTGTCTGTTTCAGAAACGGAGGCACATGTAAATGTGCCTTTCGAAGCAGCTCTTGAAAAAGCAGGTAAAATTTCATCGAAATGTGATTTATTATGATTTTATCACTGATTCTATAATTAAAAAAAAAATTGGGGAAAATATATTAAATAATTATAATAAAATTTATGCTAATGATCATTTGGTTATAGTAGGGTAAATTATGCAGAAAAAAATAGTAATGGATTTTATCATTTATCTAGCAGCAAATTTTGTTCGTTATCTCGTTTAATATAATTATTGTGTGTATTTAATAATTTTCACTTAAACAATGACATACTTATGAGGCAGTTAAAAAAGCAAATTTAAAAGAAACCAAAGAAATGGTCTTGTCTTTTTTCATCCGTTATTATTTCCAGGATATGGCAAATTTCAATACTTGCTCTTTCTTCTTGTTGGCTGCTCGGTCAGCTCTATGGGCATGGAAACCATAGTGGTTTCCATTGTTATACCTGCTGCAAGATGTGATTTCGACATATCATCAAAAGATGCTGGATATTTGTCTGCATTTCCTCAACTAGGTATGTTATTTCATTGTTATTTGTAATTTGTATGCATTTATCTTGTAACTTTTTTAATGGTTTATCACTTTTATAACTTATTGTTTAGTCACATTTATAGTTTTATCACTTCTTTTTTTATAGTATCGTATTATTTAATTCATTTTTATGGATGGACATTTAGTAAGAGGCATTATGCCTGTTTGAATAAATTTTTATATCTCGCCTTGATCTAGAGTTTAAATGCTAAGAAAAGAAACTCATCTGTCTTAACATTCCAGGTACAATTATAGGAGCATTTCTTTGGGGTACTCTTGCCGACATATATGGAAGAAAATGGATATATGTCATGACAATGTTGTCTGGGGGGCTTTCCAGCCTTTTGTCCAGTTTTGCACCGAACTTCATCATTTTTATGGTGTTTAGGATTATTAGTGCAGTAGGGTATGCGATTAAAATGATTCATTGTTTACATAAGTTTGTTTTGTTTTCAAAATTTCTAATGGAATTTTCAGCCTTGCAGGTATTCTAAGTGTATGCTTAGCCTACCTTGCTGAATTTCAACCCATAAAGCTGAAAGAAAAGGCCGTCAGTTGGATGGAGTTTTGGTGGTCAGTCGGCATCATACTGTCTCCTTGTAAGAGAAATAATAACCAATTGTTTCCATAATTTATAAAATTGATCATATAAATGAGTAAACTTTCAGGCCTAGCATGGGCGATCATCCCAACAAACTTGAGGTTCGAAAGCGAATATTTCAACTTTGCATCTTGGAATTTGTACGTCGCGACAAATGCTAGCGTCATGATTATGTTGGGTTTCATTGCGATGGGATTTCCTGAAAGTCCAAAATATTACGAAGACATCGGGGAACGCGAGAAAGCCATAGAAGTATTAAGATACGTCTACTCCGTCAACACGGGTTGCCATCAATCTTTCTTTATGGTAAGTTTTAAAATAACATTTGACAAAAATTATAAAGGTAAAGGGTAATTGCAATATTCATAGTCAAAAAACAAATAAAAATAACAGGACAACACAATTAAAGAAACTTAAAAAATTTCTTTCTTACGTTAATTGATATAGTGTATAGATTCTATAAGATTTTCAAATAGCATGTATAAAAAATTAGAAATCATTTTGGAAAGTTTACCATTTATCAAAAAAATATTCTACAAAGAGTTACCTATTATTTAATAGGAATGTGAAAGCACCACAATAAGAAAACAAGTAGGATAAATTAATATGAATGCACAAGTCAAATTCTCACATTAAGAAGAAAACTACATATTATAAATACCGTGTTGATTAAACTTTAAGTATTTTGTTTTGAAAGAGTAGAGATTTTTTGGATATTAATTTCATAATTGACAAATAGATGACAAATAAATACCAAAAAAGGAAAGATTTATTAAATTAAAAATTAAAAAAAAATCTATTATTAAAAACAGATTGAGGGAATAATTATGATATTGTAACAAGGATAACTAGATAATAAATTTTTCATTTATTAAAAACATTCTATGTATTATTTGTTAATATTTTTAACATTAATATTTCAGTGTGATCTCATGGAGGAAAAAGGCATAAGCGTCATTAGCACTAATAACAACCCTCAACTTGCTAAGCCAAAACGTACGTTTCAGTCGATTTTTTATGACATGAAAACCCAGACCAAACTTCTCTTTGTCAAACCGCATTTCCTAAATATCTCATTGGTCGGGATAATATCATTCGGAGTGACTGGAGTGTAAGTTTTACATTTTAACATTTTAAAATAATCTGAGGGGAATTTTAAATTTTAGGTATTATACGTACATGTTGTGGTTTCCTGAGCTGTTTTCGCGGTTTAACACTTTTGAACACCAACATCCTGGGCAGACGACATCAATGTGCGAAGTGGCCTCTATCTTCGTAGAAACGACAAATAAATGCCGCAATGAAGTGGATCCTGAAATATTCAAGAATTCTGTGATCATTGGCCTTTCTTCCATTCCGACAAGCTTGTGGCTTTCAATGTGCATCAACCGCTTAGGTTGTAAATTTTTCCTTTGTAAGTATTCATTTGATTTAAAATCAAATTTAATATGTGGCAAAATTCATCCTTTATAAAAAAGTTTTTTTTTTAGTTTACGGAAGATTAAATATGGCATTTTCTATTTAATAAATATTTGTTTAAATTTTTTAGTGTTTTGCATGGGAGTTGCAGGGTTATCATGTCTCGCTTTGTATTTTGTCACTTCATCATTTCAAAATCTGATTCTCTCATGTTTTTTGGGAGCGTTTGCTTCGATAAGCACTATGGCAATGTTTTGCAGTTTGGTAGATCTCTTCCCTTCACAAATATGGTAATAAATGCCACAATTTTTTTAAATGAAATCTTTGTTTTATTGTAATGATGATTTCAGTGCCATGGCAAATGGTGTGTGCCTCAGTCTTGGAAAAGTGGGAACTTTAGTCGCTAGTCTTTTCTTCGGCTACCTCATAGATTACAACTGCGCCATTCCTATTTTCTTATTTGCCACCATTATGTTCTGTAAGTTTGTATTATGATTTACAATCTACCAATTGATCTTTTTACATGTTTAAACATTTAACAATATTATGACTTACGTTTTATTTAAGGTTGTGCAGTTCTAGCGTGGTTTCTTCCACTCAAGAAACGCCCAATGACGGATGAATGATTGCACATTGGATTCATTCAAAAGAAAAACCAACAGTTTCTCCTTCTTCTAGTCAAAAACAAAACAAGAACAGCACATTATTTATTTATTTATTTATTTGTATGAATAAATATACCCAGTTACAAGTTCTATAAGAGTTTAACCTGTACATAAGTAATAATGAATAATTGAAACATAAATAATAATTCACTAATTTCGTGGTCCGCTTGACCAATTACTATATTACAATTAATTAAGGTTTTTAGTTGAGATAAAAAGTCAATGGCACGAGCGGGATTCGAACCCACGATCTTCGGCTAGATATGCCTCTGCTGTACCACTCGAGCTATGCACTACAAAAGAAATGGCCACGGAGAGCATTAGTTAAGTATGGCAAAAAGGAGGGAAAATTCAAATGGTTGAGATGGGAAGTTGGTGTCCGAGTGGTTTGAGGTCACGATAGCTTAAGTGGTAGAGCAGCGGCGTATCTAGCCGAAGATCGTGGGTTCGAATCCCGCTCGACTTTTTTATCTCAACTAAAAACCTTAATTAATTGTAATATAGTAATTGGTCAAGCGGACCACAAAATTAGTGAATTTAATGATTAAAAATGAAGTATACTTCACTAAAGCTTTCCGTGGCCATTTCATTTGTCGTCGAGAATCCAACCTGATTACATGACATTTCAAAAATGGCAAAAAGGAGAGAAAATTCAAAAGGTGCGGTTGAGATGAGAAGTTGGTGTCTGAGTTGATCAAGGTCACGATAGCTCAAGTGGTAGAGCAGTGGCGTATCTAGCCGAAAATCGTGGGTTCGATTCCCACTTGTGCCATTTACTTTTTTATCTCAACTAAAAACCTTAATTAATTGTAATAAATAATAATGTTCGTATAACAATTATTAAAAGATATGGACATATTCAACAAACAAACACAAATAAAATATTGTTTTGTGTCCTAATATACACGGGTCCTAAGAAGTGAGGAGGAAAGATAAAAATTTAATTAAATAACAGAAATATGAAATATATATAAAGGAAATGGGTAGGAATGAGGAAATGGTTAGGAATGATAACAAATTAATTAAACAACAGGAATAAATAAACAAATATACAGGAAGAGACAAGGAATGATACAAATTTAATTAAACAATAGAACTATCGGCGAGGCCTTAGGGAGGGCGGGACTGGCTCTGGGGACCGTGCTTCGGCTGGGTAACCGACCGACACCTCCATGGACCCTTCCTGCCGCACTCGTCCGCGACGACCTGGCGAGCTTGCCCAAGTCGTGTACACCGCCACACCTCTATAAGACTAAGTTCCTTGAACTTAGGAACAAGTACGCCGGTTTTGGTCTTGTCTTTACAGACGGGTCCAAGACTGGCGATGGTGTGGCCTGTGCCGTGTATAGCAAAGGAGTGGCCACCTCCTGGTCGCTGCCCCCCCATTGCAGCATATACACGGCAGAACTGTACGCGATTTGGCACGCTCTNCACGCACGCACGCACACACACACACACACACACACACACACAAAAGCTGTTTATTCAGTATATTATTTCCAGGAAAATATGTTGAACAAAACCTCCAAACCTGAGCACATCTTAGGTTCAGTTGATGTTATATGTGTTCACTAAATTGCTAAACACTTTGAGAGCGAGAAAACTGGAAGCCGTTTTATCATCTGTTGACACAATGGCTTTAATTGCTCCCAGAACAAAAAATTAGTTTGGATTAAAGGAACTCTTCCTTAATTGTTTCAATTTTATAAACAATATACGTAATTACAAAAGAGCAAGAGCATTTGCCTGTTTTTCTGCCAATGAAAGAAATTCCAGGAGTTGGACTGGACTGCAGCCGAAGCAACGCAAAATGAAAGTTTTAACTTGATTTCATTTTGTTGGTAGAGTACCAGTAGATTTAAGAAACCTACAATAGAATAAATAGCTGGAGTTTACATTCTTCAGAAGAACTGCCAGGTCATCGACAATTCATTATGTACTATCGTCAAAGCATTCCAAATTTAATTTTTGGTTTGATGTCCTAATTATGATCCCATGTTGTACTCACTGATCAGCCCCTTGTGAGACAGGATTGCAGTCTGACTCATAACGACTTGAGAAAACAAAACCACCGTGAACTACTAACAGTGTTACAGTACTTGCTGTCGACTTGCTATTCGTAATCCGTTTTCGTAAATCATACTGTTCCATGATACATGAATTATCACAACAGTCCAGCAGTGCACTATAAATTTTTTTTTTGTACTTTACTTGTGGTAAATACTTAATATTGAATTACTTAATAATTTTAAATGAAAAAATTATCCTGTTGCAGATGCTAAAAGTCAAGATTCATATAAGTTTTATTTTAAATAAGAATGTTTATTTCAAATTTGTGCATTTTAACTTTATATTTTTCTACTTGTTTTGTTTATGATAAATTATTTTTCATTTATAACATGGTAGAGTAGTAGGTACATTACTGTAGGTTTTAATACTAAAAAACACATGATTCTTGTTCTCCTTGACATGGATAAAGCCTTCAACACCGTATGGCATGATGGGATTATTTTTCATAATGATTTAGTATGATTTTCCAAAGTATGAAATCAAGATGGTGCATTTTTATCTCTTTTCGTCTCACCCTTCGTAACTCCATGTCTTAATATGTCACTATAAAAGCCAGCGTCCCTCCAGGATCAATTCTGGGCCCAACACTATTTTAGTATTTTTCTAAATGCTCTTCCCAAACTTACATGCTGCAAACTGGCAATTTACTATTTCTCCAGGAGGATTATTTTGATTGCCAAAAATATATTAGTACAGATCTCGAAAGAGTAAAGCATTTTTGAACTAGATGGAAGTTAATATATAACACCACACAAGAGTAGAAAGGCAAGAAACAAACTGACGTTATTAATTAAATTGTTGAAAAGACTACTTGACTCACGATCAAAATTAAACATTGAAAACAAACCTTTTGATTTACATGACTACGAGACAAGACCACCTTCTTGGCATACAAATGTGAAGTGTGGGGCAAGATTTCCAGTGCTCGTTGTCTTTACTCAATTCATTCAAAAATTCAATGTCAAATTGTAAATAAACAAATGCTCCTTTTTATATTTGAAATCATACTATTCGTGACAAATTGCACATCCCAATTGTACCTCGTCAAAATCCTCTATAAAAAATGTTAAGTGCTGAGCATCCACAGTAATGTACTAGAACTACAGTTGTCACTTCCAATATACCAGAAAGTCCCCAAGATAAAGTGAAAATTCTCAGTAATGACAAATGACAAGGTGTCAGTGTGCAGGAGTGTTGTCACTGGGCAACTTCTCCTACAAGTGAGCCAAACAGCAAATTCAGCATATATAAAAGTGCAATTTTTGTAGTATAATAACAAATAAATATTATGGAAAATAGGAAATTGAGGATTTATACTTAATACAGTACCTCATGAATTCAATTTTTTATTGCACAATTAAACAAAAATTGAGAAAAAATTAAGTTAATACTTTATCGAATAATTTTTTCAACAAATTTCAACAAAATTACAACAGCTATATTTACAATAAATGGCCGGGTATGTACAGAAATGTCTACATATCTAGATTGTCTTGACTCATAGACAGAGGTTTCATAGGATCTGGTGAATCAGGGATCGGGCATGTTAGAGGGTTTGACATATAAAACGATGATGAATGGCTAAAAACCGGTGAATATTGATGAGGGAAGAAAATCGGCGTCTGCCTGTGCGCTATCTTCAACCGGGACGCCAACTGCTTCTTCCACTTTGTCCTTCGGTTCTGGAACCATGTTTTTATCTGAACTTCAGTCAAATTCAACGCCTTGGACAACTCCATTCTCTTGCTCACACTTAGATATTTATCTGTCTGCAAGAAAAATTGGCTTAAAATTGTGAAATATTATTAAGTCGATAATTTAGTTAACAATTTATTTATTAGAAAATATTATTTTTTTAACAAGGTTAATTTATTTTAAGAATAACAGTGTATAAACAAATATTGTAAATAGATGACATTTTTAAAAACAGTTTATACTCAATTTAACTAGTAAATTTTGCCAACTCATATCTCAATTTTTGTAGCGCTTCCTTGATATCTTTTCTTAATAGAATAACACACATAAGATTCTCTCAGATGAGATTCAAAATAAAATCAAACATTGAATCCTCCATCACAGAATGGATCCATAACAGAGAAAAGGATAAATAGATAACCTCTAGGTTGCGCTAGATACAGATATACAGGGTGAATTGCTACTCGTGCTACAAACTTCTCCAGTAGATTCTTCACCCTAAAATGAACAAAAAAGTTCATATTGTCCATGGTCCGATTCTCAACCATTTCAGAGTAATTTCGCTTTTTATCGATTTTGAAAGATATCACGTCCTGGCGTCGGAAAATCGTGATATCTTTTAATCTAAACATTTCTCTGAAAATCTAATAGCACCGTTGAAATTCCCGTTAATTTTTCAATAAGAAGATGACGGTGGCAAAATGTTTGGGCTAATTTTTTGTGTTTTATTTCAGCCAGAACTACAAAAAGAGTGGAAAATTGTGTAAATCGGAAAGTGTATAAAGTAATCCAGAGTTTCTAATTTTAGTCTCAGAAGGCAGCAAATTTGAGGAAAACTACCTGATTTAATAACGCTTCCAACGCACTCGTCATTTTCTTATTTAGTGGTTGTGAGACCAAGATGTTGATGACAAAAAGAGAAAAAATGGTGGTTCAAGGATTGCTAATGTTTGAGAGTGACTTGCTACTCGTGCTACAAACTTCACCAGTAGATTCTTGACCCTAAAATGAACAAAAAAGTTCATATTGACCATGGTCCGATTCTCAACCATTTCAGAGTAATTTCGCTTTTTATCGATTTTGAAAGATATCACGTCCTGGCGTCGGAAAATCGTGATATCTTTTAATCTAAACATTTCTCTTAAAATCTATAAGCACCGTTGAAATCCCCGTTAATTTTTCAATAAGAAGATGAAGGTGGCAAAACGTTTGGGTCTTTCTTCCTTGACCTTCTAGCTGTTTGTAAACTTCTTAAGCATTACATACTAAATGGGCATTAAATTAAATTAAAAAATTTCAATGGAATTATGATTTTGATTCTCTCTAAAAATTAACGGGGATTTCAACGGTGCTTATAGATTTTAAGAGAAATGTTTAGATTAAAAGATATCACGATTTTCCGACGCCAGGACGTGATATCTTTCAAAATCGATAAAAAGCGAAATTACTCTGAAATGGTTGAGAATCGGACCATGGACAATATGAACTTTTTTGTTCATTTTAGGGTGAAGAATCTACTGGAGAAGTTTGTAGCACGAGTAGCAATTCACCCTGTATACAGTAAACTTATGTTAAAACAACCCTAACCAAAACTGGCAAACTCAATGCTAGAGTCAGTTAGAGTTAAACTCGGAGGAGTGATGATAGGACTATTTAACAGTCACTGGTGTCTGAGGAAACATGTACATAATGTGTGTATATTCAATGATGACCCCATTTGTAGGTTATGCAATGAGAAGGAAGAAATAGTCACCCTTGTCATCTTTGAGTGCAAAGCAACTGCTCAATGTAGATATAACCTGAGAAGCAAAGTAAATCCAGGTTAAGGAATTGCAGCAACAACGATCAGTGAACTTGAACTCCTTAACAGAAAGCTCAAATCAATGGCACTGAACTATGGATGGAAAGTACAATAAATCTAGAAGGTTGCAGTGCTTGGGGAACAAACCACCACTTCCTAGTCTCTAGTATAGAGCGATGTATAAATATATGTATAAATAGCTTATAACTTGCATGTGTTGATAGCATTCACTGAAGCATGAATTGAGGGAGGACAAACGAGACATAGGTCTAACCTCAAACTCCAGTGAAGAACATAATAATACATATGAACTTGGATGGAAATCCAACATGTCGACAAAATACAAACTCCACAAAACATTACTGAAATTGATTTGGACATACGGGCTAGAACTGTGGGGCACTGCTAAACCTAACAATATCCAATTAGTTGTCCTTCCAATCCAAAGTCCTCAGAATCATAATCAACGCTCCATAGTTCAAAAATAACTATTCAGAAAGCTGGGAAAGCAACAATGGTTGCTGGCTCCCCTCAGGATATTTACAAATTATAAATATTTTATCAAATTACATAATGTATTTGTTTGTAGGTGGTAATAAATAATAAACAAATAACTTATTAATGCCAATATTTGGGGGAAAATTTTAAAAATCTGGCTTTCTTTTCAGCCCATAGTCACAGGGTACTAACTCCTGTTTGTTATTGATCTGGATTAATAGGGAAAAAAATTGATAAAGTTGATGGTGCTGATCTCAAGGATCAGCCTGCAAGAGTGGCAGACTCAGAAGGGACTTCGTCTTGTATCATGACGGTACAAATTTTAATTGAGTGCTTTACTAATCATTATTCTTGCTATAGACATTTAGTGACTGGGACGATGTATCGAGGTCAAGACCAAGTGCGTATGCCTGTTGGTAGAGAGAGCATTGGGTGAGGTCCTGGGACGTGAGTCAGCTGACTACATCGGTTGAAGGGACTGTGGTGCAGAGGTTTGCCTTTAGCCAAGTCGGCCATGTTGAAAAGGTGAGTTCGAGGAAAATGCTGAGAGTATCCTTGCCATCGTCGTAGGTGCTTCATTAGTGATCAGCACGAACTTTTTGGAGAGACGAGTCTGCTGTCATCGATTAGTGATTGGTGAGAGCTTGAGAGTGAGAGGTGAGGTTGACGAGTCTGACGGTATGAGTGAGACCTCGTAGAGTTGACGAGTCTGAGGTATTCTTACGCCGAGAATTTGCCGGCTTCGCTCCGTGGTGACGGGCGGGGTTACTTAATGTAATATTAAATTAAAATGGGCGCCACGCTGTTTAATATGACACGGAAACAGCGAACCGTAAAAAAAGTAAATAAAAGAAAATAAATCCAAGAAAATTCAATAAAAGTAAAATTAACTAAGAAAAAAAGAACACAATATTTACATAAAGAAACAAAAAAAAATCACATTTATTCCAAAGGAAACTAAAATATTAAACATAGATCAATCTTAATTCTCTGCGAGTAACATTTTAACAGACTTACACACTAATGAACCTAAATTATCTCAAAATCTAAATAACTAAACTTTCCTGGGAGCCAGTGTCCATCTGCTTCTTTTTCCCAACGATTGAAAATCCCCGCTTCCAGGAAAATGTGGAGCACCTTCTCTGAAGTTAGTGGGTCTGCGGTCGCCTTCGTTGATCAAGGAATTTATGATTTTCTATGATCCGGCCAGGCCGTAGGGATATCCGTCTCGACGCACGCTGTCCTCCCTTCGACTCGCTCCTCTACATTCCTCTAAACCTATCCTAGGGCGTCTTAATTTTGATTGACTCACCGCCAACTTTAGTTTAGGAGGCATCCCCGGTTAAATAATAATAATGCGTACATACTCTGTTACGAACGTAACAGTATGAGTGGGACGTCGTCTGGTTGACGAGGCTGAGGGTAAGAGTGAGACCTCGTCGGATTGACGAGTCTGAAGGTATGAGTGAGACCTGTGGCCTGTTGGGCAGTGCCCTGCTTAAGTGCTTTTATACGCACCGGCTGTACTCTGATTCGGTGAAGTGGAGGGCGCTATTATTCCAGAACCGGTAGTGGCACCTATCAGCTACTGTGGGAACTGTAGGTAACCACCAGACACTTGTATGTTCTAATTCTAATTAATTGAAATCAAAGTGTTTCACAAGAGAAAAAGTCGATTTAGAAAGGAGACAATAAACAAATTTATTATATTACTATTAAAAGATATTTAAAAAATTACATTAAATTCAGACTCCAACCTCTCCAATTGTTTCGCACTGTATGCCTGACGTGGTTTCCTGTCCATTCCCGGTTTTCTGGATCTCCTTCCGATCGGCTTTGGCGCTGAAAGTAATATAAAACTAAGTGTATAGATTTTGGACAGGGACTTTAGTTTAAATTTGAGTTTTAATTAAATCAAATTAAAATCAGAGCCTTGTTTTCGGTCGACTTTCCTCGTAGTTTCGTTGGTGTTTTCTGTCGAATTCGAAGCAGCTAATCCTAGCCATCGATTCTTTATAATTATGTCATTGATGAAATGGTTTACGTCAACATAAATATGATTTGTAAATTAGAAAGTTGAAACAGAAACCGGCTCCAAATCCGATTTACGTACACCGAAAGGTGACTCGTAAAAAAATTAACACAGTTCAAACAAGCCGAGACCCTAATGAGCCGCTAACCGGGTCCTTATTGTAGAGTCAACCAAAATACAGGTGTTACATGGGTGATAATATTTTCTTACTATTTACTTTCCGAGCTAATCCGACTGTAAACAAATCGTTTTGTGAGAAGGAATGCCGTACGACATTCGTCCTCTTTTAATCCCTGGGACATGGACGTTCTCTGTAAATACGTTTCAGTCAAATTTCATGGCTTATCTGTTGTACTTATTTCCTATCGTCTATTGTATTCCACCAACTTCACAATTAAAAACAAACTCTCACCTTGTAATCCAAAAAGCGCTTGAGTTTTCGACGCGGCTGCAAACCAACTGCCATAAAGTATAGTTGAATATTGAAGGTTGTTGTATATATTGCTAGATGGGACGCTGTGACTTACACTTGGAAGAACTTCAATGCCTGGAAGAATTGAGACAATAGTTATAAAATGACATCAACGGAAATTAAACCAATAATAATTCCTTCCACCATGTTAATTCATAAAACTTTGAAAGAAAAGATTCGTTTTACTTTGGTAAAACCTTAAAGTCATATTCATTGAAATATTGAAGTTTTGCCAAGAAATATAATATCGGTTCAAAGTATTAAATGGTAAAATGTTTATTTCCAGGAACACTAATAATTCAATTAATTATTTATAAGATTAAATTGAATTTTGCCTAATTATTTTAGGGGATTGAAACCTTAAGTTAAAAATCCATTAGATTTCGTGATCCGATTGATCAAATAACTTCTTTCAATTAATTGATCTTTATTTAAGGTATTGACCGAAATAAAAAAGCCAGTGTCACGAGCGGGATTCGAACCCACGACCTTATATCGGTCCTTGTTAAGGCGTATTTAGCCGGAGGTCGTGGGTTCGAATCCCGCTCGTGGACTGGCTTTTTTAATTCAACCAATACCTTACATAAAGATTAATTAATTGAAAGAAGTTATTTGGTCAATCGGCCCACGAAATATAATTGATTTAATAAGTAAAACGAATTATATCTTCACTAAAGCTCTACGTGGCCATTTCATTTGTCGCCGAGAATCGAATCCTGATTATACGGTATTTGAAAAATGGCAAAAAGAAAGGAAAATTCGAAAGGTAGGTTGAAGTGGGAAGTTGGTGTCCGAGTGGATCGAAGTCCCGATAGCTCAAGTGGTCGAGCAGCGGCGTATTTAGCCGAAGGTCGTGGGTTCGAATCCGAAGAAGTTATTCGGTCAATCGGACCACGAATTCTAATGGATTATTTTTTATTTTTTTGACCTAAATAAGTAAATAAAATATTGGAAATCTTCAAAAATGATATTTCATTGCGGAAAGTCTCGATCAAACCACAAGTTTAGAATTATATTTGATGCTGAAATAAATGAATGTTGACTAGGGACAAACGTACTAATTGAAAATATTAAGATCAAAGAATAGAGAAGAATATCATTTCTTCCAGAAAAAAGTTGCCTGAGAATTTCAGTAGCCCAGGCGACCATTTATCGTTAGGCGACCAAGGTTTTATCATTTTTTGACTAAAATAAGTATATCAAATATTGGAAATCTTCAAAAATGATATTCCATTGCGGAAAGTCTCCATCAAACAACAGTTTTAGAATTTGATTTGATGCAGAAATAACTGAGAGATGACTAGGGACAAACGTACTAATTAAAAATATCAAAATCAAAGAATAGAGAAGAATATCATTTCTTCCAGAAAAAAGTCGCCTGAGAATTTCAGTAGGCCAGGCGACCATTTATCATTAGGCGACCAAGGTTTTATCATTTTTTGACTAAAATAAGTATATCAAATATTGGAAATCTTCAAAAATTATATTTCATTGCGGAAAGTCTCGATCAAACAACTGATTTAGAAGTTGATTTGATGCTGAAATAAATGAATGCTGACTGGGGACAAACCTACTAATTAAAAATATCAAAATTAAATAATAGAGAAGAATATCATTTCTTCCAGAAAAAAGAAGCATGAAAATTTCAGTAGGCCAGGTGACTGTTTATCATACTTACATTACGCACATACATATTTTCTCCTTTATACTTAAGTTCAAAAAGGGAAGAAAAAAACGATTAAATTATAATAATAATAAAAAGAATTAATGGTAAAAGCAACATATTATCTCCTTTAAAAAAAAAAAAAAAAAAAAAAAAAAAAAACAATTATATTATTCTTATTTTAAAAGGATTTTTTGGTATATACAGCTCAGTATGATAGGATGAGATGGAATAGGTCAAATTTAGGTTTTATCGTCAGTATCATTCTATATCAATAGATTTAAAAAATCTACAAAAAGTATATTATTTTAAGTTTGCTAAAATTGTTTAACAGCACTATGCAGGTAATAAATTTAAATATAACCTAAATTGATGTCTAGATCAAACAACAGTTTTAGAATTTGATTTATTGTAGAAATAACTGAGAGATGACTAGGGTCAAACGTACTAATTAAAAATATCAAAATCAAAGAATAGAGAAGAATATCATTTCTTCCAGAAAAAAGTCGCCTGAGAATTTCAGTAGCCCAGGCGACCATTTATCACACTTTTATTACATACATATTTTCTCCTTTATATTTAAGTTCAAAAAGCGAAAAAAACAACAATTATATTACACTTATTTTAAAAGGATTTTTTGGTATATACACGTTGAATATACAGCTCAGTATGATAGGATGAGTAAGAATACTGAGATGGAATAGGTCAAATTTAGATTTTATCCTCAGTATCGTTGTATATCAATAGATTTAAAAAAATCTACAAAAAATTATTATTTTATGTTTGCTAAAATTATTTAATAGTACTATGTAGGTAATACATTTAAATATAGCCTAAATTAATGTATGATATTAACGATATTTTTTCTGCATAAATATAAAGTATTTTATTTATTTTATTCATAATATTTTTTTTAAAGTGTATGAAGCTACATCACCTGGTAGAACCACAATTTATCCAAAGGTTTATTATTATTATTTTTTGACCAAAAAATAAAATATTGGAAGTCTTCAAAAATGATATTTCATTGCGGCAAGTCTCGATCAAACAACTGGTTTAGAATTGGATTTGATTCAGAAATAAATTAATGATGACTAGAAGCAAACATACTGATTAAAAATATCAAAATCAAAGAATAGAAAAGAATGTCATTTCTTCCAGAAAAAAATGAGAATTTCAGCATCTAGAAAAAAATTATTATTTTAACTTTGTTAAACTTATTATTTGGAGATCCTGAGCTGCGTCTTATGTGATGTAGGTTTAGAAAAACGTGTGTTTTTTAGTGACCTGTTGTTTCATAATTAGTTGAAGTCGTGAGGAACGGCCAAGAATGAGGTAGTTCTAGGTAGGAAAAAAATAATTTAGCCAGGCTCTGAAGATGACCCGAATAAAGGTCGAAACGCCAGCAAAGAAATGAAAAAAGTTGTTTTTCTAAACTACCTCTTTCTTGACCGCTCCTCACGACTTCAACAAAGTTTAGAAAAACATTTTCTTTATTGTGCCAACGTTTCGATCTTTATTTAGATCATCTTCAGGGCTCAAAGTGTGTGTTTTCTGTGCAGATGTGCCACGGTTGTGCGTAGTGTTGGTAGTGTGAATTTGCTTAAATAAATTTAAATATAGAATAAATTGATGTATGATGTATTAACGATATTTTTTCGACTAATTAATATAATGTATTTTATTTATTTTATTAACAATATTTTTTTTTAAAGTGTATAAAGCTATCATCACCTGGTAAATTATCAGGAAAAATTTGTTCTTGCCCGGCCGGATGCCGGGGAGGAAGCGGGCTGCAGGCCCTCGGTCCGAGTATGCTCTCGATCGAAAAAGGGCTGACTTCCAAGGGCTTCTGACGTCCCGAGGGCGACTCGTCATCCACGATTTTTTTCTCGTCCTTGTAACAATCCATTGACAAGTGGCAACATACCACCCTGGAAGGAGCGAGGTGAGATGTGATCCGGCTTGGAAGGAGTGGCCGTCAGGAGCGCTGGAGAAACCACCACCCTCTTCTCGTCCTCACCTTCTGGACGTCGCGCATTACTCAAATCTATTGTAAACGTTTTCTAAAATACATTTTCACGCCTTTAGCCGAAGAGGGAGGGGTAATGGACCCCTATTTGGCAAATCCCTCCCCTTTTCCCATTTCCAAAGTACTGCCCCATCTCACCCTTTCAACTCATTTCGTCTTTTACCCTCCCGGAATATTTTACAACCATCACGATTCTATGATACTGTGAAGCTAATACCTCGGCATGGGAATACCAGTACAAATTTAAACGAAATAATCGATATAATAAATTATTATGTATTTCTAATGTTGAGCTACTGTTAAAAATAAGAATAATCGTCCCAACGTAAAACACTGAGCTTTTCACGCATGAACATTTATTTATAATCATATGGATGAAACTTTTGTGATTGTTTTGTAATTAATTATTTAACATTTTATCTTGGTTAAAAAATAAAATATAGGTAATAGGACGCAGTGCTGGAGTTTCCCCACGAACTTATCAAAATGTATCAAAGACCGCATCTTTTATTTATACTGTGTTTGGCTACTCGTGTTATGAACTTTGCCAGTAGATTCTATATTCAAAACTGAACCAAAAAGTCCTAATTAACTATGGCCCGAATCTCAATAGTTTCGGAGTTATTCCCGTTTTTCTGATTTTTTAAGATTTCACGACCTTGCTTCAAATAAACAATGACAATTCCAAAACTAAAACGTTTTGGACAAATCCGTCGATACCATTAAAAACTATGTTAAATTTCCAATAAGATGTGATCAATACTAAACTTGTAAACGTTGTGGAAATAAGCTTTTTAGTAGCCAGAACTTTGAAAAAAAAATTTCAAAGTTGAAGAATTTACTATGATGAATCTAAACTTTTACAGATTTCCAAACCTAGAAACCGGCAAATTTCAGCAAACGTACTCCATTTAATATCCTTTTTAGTAGTGTAATTGCTTTTTAATTATTTTTTTCAAAGGTGAAGACATTGATGAAGGAACGGAAAAAACCGTGGTTGAGGGATTGGTAAGGTGGAAAGATAAAAAATAAAACTTAAGGAAATTTTTGATGAACTAAAAACGTTTTGAATTTTAAAACTCTTTTATTCCTGGGAATAGTAATACAATAATCCTTTAACCAAAGTTAAAGCCGTGACGTTTTTTTTTTAATTTATTTTTTTTAATCTTTCCACCTGACGTCAATCTCGATTTTTTCTGTTCTTTCATAAATTTCTTCATATTTGAAAAAAATAATTAAAAAAGTAATTACACCACTAAAAAGAAATTAAATGGAGTACTTTTGCTGAAATTTGCCGGTTTCTAGGTTTGGAAATATGTAAAAGTTTAGATTCATCATAGTAAATTCTTCAACTTTGAAAATTTTTTTTTTCAAAGTTCTGGCTACTAAAAAGCTTATTTCCACAACGTTTACAAGTTTAGTATTGATTACATCTTATTGGAAATTCAACTTAGTTTTTATTGGTATCGACGGATTTGTCCAAAACGTTTTGGTTTTGGAGTTGTCATTGTTTATTTGAAGCAAGGTAGTGAAATCTTAAAAAAATCCGAAAAACGGGAATAACTCCGGAACTGTTGAGATTCGAGCGATAGTTAATTAGGACTTTTTGGTTCTATTATGAATGCATAAACTAGAAGATAAAAAAATGGATAGAAGATAATTTTTTTAAATGTAAATACAATGAATACATATGTTTAAATTGTCAAGGTTTGTTTAGTGCATTGTGAAGTATTGTGGTGTGGAATATATTTTTTCTGCTATCTGAGCTGATAAGGATTAGTGGAGAAGTTAATATTATTTATAATTGTAGTACATTCAATGTACGATTTAATAATTTTAAAAATAATTAGTAAGTCGAATTGTAATCTGCGTGTTTTTAAAGAGATTAAATTTAACTTTAATTGAAATTGGTTTAATCGGAAAGGTTTATTCCGAGCTTAAAAGCAGCCATTCTTAAACATTTATTTTGTACTCTCTGAAGTTACTAATTTCGCATGAGCAGTGTATGGATTCCAGACTGGAGAACAATAGTCAAGTGAAGATTACACAGTAGAGGAACATAATGTCATGGAATTTGCCTCTAAATATATATATANTCATTATTCCTCGGGGCGGGGTAAATAACCCCTTCCTTTCACGCAAATAAATTACATTCATCCTAATGTATTAACATAAACACCACACAAACACTTCAGACCCAACACAAGCACAGCACAAACACACATAAGCTATATACATTTGAAGATCCCAATAGCCCTGAGGTACCGGTACAGCGATTTGTGCCTGCTGCCATGCCCCAAGACTACGCACAGGTCCGATGATATTCCAAAATATTGCCTATAAACAAAGAGCCTTCTACAATTGAAAAGGTGCTCGACTGATACTCTATCTTTGCATAATGGGCACCTTTGCGGTCGCTTTCCTGCTAGAAGGTGCCCGTGTGAATTTGCCTCTAAATGTTTATTTATTTGTTATTGTTAATTTTAATTTATTTGGAAATAAACCTTATTTCTTTATAAATTTATGGAATATTTGCAATAAACTAAACTTGCTGTAATTATTATTTTAAAAAAATATAGTAACAAACAACATTTGTAATTATATATATTTATAGAAGCGTTAAGAAAGTTAATTTATTGTAAATTAAATTCATTGGAAATACAACGAAGAAACATTTTGAGTAGTTTAAATAATTAAAAAATAAGAATTCGATAGGTAAAACTGGTGTTTTTAAGCAACGATATTGGGTTGAGGAGCGTAGAGGCTTTTATTTTATATAGTCGATAATCTCGATATTAACTAATAATATCAAAAGGTTATATATATAAAACGTAAGATGGTTAATGTTAAGTTAAAAACGGATTATTTTGACAGAAAAAAAGTTGTAATTAGTACTGACCTATATTTGATATTCCTCCAGCACAGCATTGTTTAACTATTCTAATTGAGGGTGGTGGGATTCAATATTACGCTATCAGCCCTCTCGCACTACACATTCACCCTAATAAATACATTCAGTGACAACATTGAGAGGAAAAACGTGGCCACTCAAAAAATTTAAAAAATATAAACTGAAGAAAACAATTTTATCAAAAATGTTGCTATGAAACAATGGTGATTTTCCGAAAATAGATGGAGTAAAAATTGAACGTTTGCAGATGACACAGCGGTGATATCACTAGGACCGGCTATCACCCATTCAACCGAAATCCTCAAAATGCATGTAGTAAGACAAACGAATGGACAAAAAAAATGGAAAATCAAGCCAAATCAGGATAAATCAGTTCATCTAATATTTACAAACAAAAAAGAAGACCATGTTCCTTCACAATCGATGGAACTACTATACGATACAGTGATACAGCTAAATATCTGGGAATGACCTTAGATGCCAAGCTGAGATGGAAGGAACACGTGAAGAAAAAAAGGACAGAAATAGGTTTAAGATATAGACAACTATACTTACTGGTTGATAAGACGTGGCTCCAACCTTCCTATACAAAATAAAATATTATTATGCAAACAAGTCTTAAAGCTTTTGTGGACATATGGTATTCAACTGTGGGGGTGTACCAAACAGCAATATCAAAATCATACAAACACTCCAAAATAAAATCTTACGTAACATGGTCAATGCACCTTGGTAAGGAATAAGGACTTACATAGGGAACATAAGATCCTTGAGGTCATGGCGGAAATACAAAGATTTGCCGCAAAACACCAGGCTCGCCTCAGCCAGCACGAGAATGTGGAAGCGACCTTACTCTTACATAACCCAAACATGATCAGAAGATTAAAAATAACAAAGCCATATGAACTTGTGCAGTTAAAAATGAATAGTGAATAGACAAATGTAAATCTTATTGTACCAATGGGTTTATAAAAATGTAATCATTTATTTATTCTATGATATTATTGTAAAATTAATGGTTGGTCCAATAAGACCAGTTTTACTAAATTAAAAATAAATTTCCTTTTGCGTTTATCATGTTTGCATTCGTTGTGGCATCGATTTTATGACATTTTGAATATAGTGATGTGGAATATTTTCTTAGTCCACCAATAGCGCCATTTTTATTTCCTGGAAATTCTCTGGCATCACGGGGCGACTTTTTCCCCTCATAGACAACTCGTAGCTAAAGTGTTCGATAAGGTTTGACTCGGGACTATATGCTTTCCACTCGAACCATTGCATTGAAGCCCGTTCTAAGCAGTCATCAACGACCCTCGTTGTACAGTCATGGATAAAAATAAAACCGTCGTAAATTAGTGGCATACAAGGAACAACTTCTGATAACACATCTTCAATGTATGGCGCAGCTGTTAGGGAACCCTCGATGAAGATCAAATTTGTACGACCTTCCAAAGAAATGCCTACCCAAACCACCACGTACATAGCTTCTCCGGAGTGAAAATATTGCGCGGATATATCTACCGTTCTTCTCCAAACAAGATTTCCAATCTTGCTCAGACCAATTGATGTGATTTCTTAACCGAGCTGTTCTGTCCCTTGAGAAGTTCTGGACCAGTGGCAGGCCTTCTCTCACGTAATCCAGCTTTTGAAAGTGCGTAAACTAACATTAGCATATATAAACTGTTGAAGTCGTTAAATCTCAACCGCAGTAGAATGTCGATTTAATAGTACAATGGAAACAATAAAACGATCATCTCGCTGATAAGTTACCTGAACCATGCCTTCTTGAATAACCTCCAGTATGCTGGTAGCGATGGAAGACCATTGGGTTGTTCTGGGAATGTTAAGCACCCTGATCACATACGTTTGTCTTCTTCCGTATTCCATCTTCCAACAATGGATTCTAGACGAATCTGTATTAAACAAATTTGAAACTTAAAAATGGTACAAATTTAAAAAATCAAACCAACGGAGCGTCAGAGAAAGAAACTACAGAAAAACCAACAAAGCAGAGATTGTCTATTCAAAGATCCGTTTGGTACTGATTTTATGTGTGTTTATTGTTGTTAAGTAATCAATGGATTGTTTAAGA